CTCCCCCCCTAGACTTTGTGGATCTGATAACATGACCTCCAGTCCTACTTTCAATCCCTAATTTTCCTGAATTGATGTCTTCCCCTCATTCACTTGTTTCTTTCTACACTACTGTTTTGGACACATGCCTGTTTATACATCCAGAAGTTTAAACTGTTACCACATGCCACTAGGCCAGTTCAAAAGTTTCTAATTAAGCACTACTGAGAATTGACAGCATCACAATAACAAATACTGAGATCCATGTTCTTATGGATCAACCCTCTTTTCCCAAAAATACAGATAATCTTGCAGCATTGGCTTCCCCTGCCCACAAAGGATGACAAATGCTACCAGGGTTTTTTTGTTTGTTTGCTCTTTGGTTTGTATTAGTTTTTTTGCATAAGCTCAGAGATCAAACCTCAGTTCTCGTAATGCCCCAAACACTTCCATTGCTTAGCTTTAACAGCTACAGCATAGCCTTTTCTGGAAGCCCACCAGGAAGAGGTTTTGCATCAGGCAATTTCATATTTTCATGAGATTCTTTTAAAAAGTAAGTGATGATGCAGATGTACCTACCCATCATGAGTATAAAGAAAATGTCAGAATTGCCAGATGTCTCACCAGCTTTTGAAAAATAAATCCTAACACAAAACTTGTCATAGCTAGGAATTTAATTGATAATAATAAAACTTAATGAAGGTCTCATCTTTTTGTCAGGGACACAAAGAAATGATGGATGACTGAGAAACAATATATACTTCTATAGTAAATGTATGGAGTATCTATTTGTTAAACCAAAATTTCAGGTACAGAATTTCAGGACAAATACAGTCAGAGAGAATCCATTTTGAAGTATATTATCCAGAAAACTAGTGAGCAAAAATGGGCTGAGAAATGAACAAGGCTGAATGTAAACAGAGGTACCTCTTTTCTCTCTGTTTAAGTATTTCTCGGGTGTTAGTCGCAGTCACTATTTGGAGTAAGCATTTTTGTGAGTAAGCTAGCAAGGTTTTGGTACATCAGTTATCCTCACAGACTTATGAAGCCTGAAATATCTTGCTATGCTCTACTTTTGGGTTTACTTTTTTCTGTGTCCTACAGACTTATGATACTGCCAATGGCATCAGCCACGTGATCCTGATTTCAGAGGGAGAGAACGCACATAGTGATTTGTTCCACAGCTGGAACTTCAGGATTGACAAATTAAATATGTTTGTTATACTTCTCCCAGACATTCAGAATTCATCACTCTTGTTTGAGACAATGTGTGTCGTTCAAAGTTAGACAAGCGCTTTCTGTGCCCCATTAGAATATAATAGAAAAGACCGTTTCAGTTGGAAGGGACCTACAACGATCACCTCGTCCAGCTGCCTGACCGCCTCGGGGCTGACCTGATCCACAATCAAACTTTAGGTGGTGAAGTATGAAATACATCGAGTGCACATCTGTGGTTCTGGATGAGCGTACTTGTCTGACGGTTCTGTACAGCGGGGACTATTTTCAAGGTTTTATCAGAGATAGTGGTAAACAGGTAGCAGTAATCATACAGGTTCTTGTTAGGAGTTTTGACAAGTTTAGCTACAATTGCTGATCAACGCATTTCTCATTCAGAGCAGCACTTCTCAGAGTCTCTTATATTGAAATGTATTTCCAGGACAAACAGCACTGCATAACTTGAAGCACATATTCAATGCAACGAAAGTGCTATATATATAAAATACTAAAAATGACTGAACAGGAAAGAGGCCACGGCAGTGCAAAGAGATGCTGAAATGGACTGGTGTGGCCTGTAGACGCCATTCATCTTCGACAGCTGGCTTCACGCGGCATTGACAGCTACCTGCACAGATGCATCGAAGCTGGCATCAGCAAGGGAGGCTGAGTACATTAAGGGCTAAAAGCGGTGGTACTCCGCGAGGAGACTACTTGCCTGTGCAGAAGAAGGAAAACCGGAAGCCTTCACAGAAGATGAAGGGGATTCTGAAGACATCCTTCTAGCCGGTAATTTTTGACCATAGATTTTTAAATGTGCTGAGTTAAAGCAGTAAACTAAAAAGGGTTTAAACACCAAACTTCCTGGATATAGTCAACTCCAGGGACTTCTAGAAAAACAGTTACAGAAGACTGTATAAAGCCTGTTTTAGGGGCTCCACTATGAAATGATAGGATGGTTTATGCCTACTGCCTTAATCCATTTCTTTGACTATTGCTCATTTGCTTCTTTCTCCATCAAGTTTCACTTAGTCTACTGTGCTGTTATTATTATTAAAATTTTATTATTCGTTCATTATTCTTTGAAAGTGGCTCAGGTAATAAGCCTAGTCAGGTAATATAGAGCATCTGGGCATCAGCGTTTCACTGAAAGCGCTACCTAGGGATGTGGAACGCACCAGCGTCAGCATATCTTGCAATTGAATTAGAATAAAGGTAGATAGCAACCTTAAGGAGATACAAGTCTAATAGCTTGATACAAATTCCTGGAGTTAAAAAAGAAATGTATAGTTAGATAAATAATTTTAGATGCAAAATTCCTTACTTTGACAAGTTCTTTTTGAGCCCATATTTGAATTGGTTCCACCTGCTGGGGGGTCTGAGTTTGGATTCCATACGTGTTCAGAAAAACTTGTAGGCTAGGAACAAAATAATGACAAATTTCATGAGAAATCACAGAATAGTCTTAACACTTATCTTGGCAGCAGATACACACGTAGCAGCATTATATTCTACGCTTCCTTAAGTACCTTTGGCAAATTTAAGTTGTCAATTGTTCAACACTTCCCTAATATATACAGTCTTAATAAAAGTAAATACATACCGCTGACTTTCTGCTATCAGGGCCACATGTACTACCAAATCATTTTCTAAAGGACCCTAGAAAATAAGGAGAAAATATCAGCATTTACTAACTGAACATTTTGTTAGAAATAGCATGAATGGGGACAATTCACAAGTATGACAGATCACTCTCGGCATTGCTTTTTCTTACTGTGTGAACAAATTGAAAGAACGCTACAAGACTAAAACTTGTAAATCTCAAAACTATGGGAAGACTGTCCTATCGATACTTTGCAAGATGCATTTTTGAGAACTAATAATAAATAGGTTTCTGGTAATCATTTCCACAGTTTGGTTTGTTGGTGTTGTTTGTTTTAATGGAAAAACACGTAGGAAAAACATTTTGCTTCATACAAAAATTGAGAATTTACACAATCGATGTATTTCCTTTATGCCTGATATGACATAATGTTTTGACACACATTTTTGTGAAGAGTGAAATAACTCAGCTATTTGGATAACCGAAAATATCCACTTTAAAATAATGAATTGATGATTTCAACCCTTTACTCTGAAATGTTTTGATCAGACAGCTACTCTTCACAGTTATATGAAAAATATATGACATTTTACAGGAGATAACGTCATTTCCTTACGTTCTTTATAACACAGGTACTTCATGTTTGAAGTAAACACTAGTATTTTACATCGGGAAACCATGCAACTAGGAATGAATTCCATACGTTGGGCGAAATCATTGACCCGACTCCCTGGGTCTTGAGAAGGCAATTCACCTTTCTTTTTGTCTCACTGGCAGCAGGTATTACTAGCTAAAAAATGAGGTGGCCGAGTTACTCCTTGTTCGTTTTTTCTCTGGCAACAAAAAAAATCAACAAAATCAACAAAACTAAAAGCAGCACCCATTTTCATACCTAAAATGCTTTTTGTCTACTTTTGTCTAGAAACTACCAGAACATGAATGACAAAAGTTAAATACATCTTCTATCAATTGATTATATAAAAATACATCATTTTCTGTGAAGATAGATGGATAGACATATTGATTTAGAACAAGAAGTTGAGCGTGAATGCTTGCTTGTTCAGGTGCCAGTAAGCCTTGATATCAAGGTAGATTTTACGGATTTGCAGAAGAAATTATTGATGACATTTTCCCACAGTCTATCAGCACTATATTTCCACTAAAAATTTTGGTCTTTTTGTCACACGAAATAAGTTTGTGATGAAAAAACGTGCACAAAGAGACCAGATGAAGTTGTCAGAAGTGCAAGTAACATTAAAAGATTTTCCTCCTCAGAATAAGTTTCGCATGCTATCAATTGCATGGATACAATCAGTAGGAAAATTCAAACCAGTTCTCTACCGTAATCAGTCCATTACGTTTATGGAACGAAAAGCAAAGACTCTCCCCAAAAACTAGAGTGCCCCCTCCAAGACTGTACTGATTAATAGACAGCCTGTGATCTAACCTGAGGAGAGGTCTTCAAGTCAAGGCTCAACTTAATTATTATTGTATTAATGAGTGGGACTGTGTAACCACAGACCATAAGCTGTACAGAAATCTGTGTGTTCTACATCCCCACTGAGGTACGCCCTTCTCCGATACCAGTACTAATGCCTCTCATACACAGACGTACCCAACGCCAGCACTCATTTCTAGCAGCCGGTATGTGGTGGTTCTAACGTGGGCCATAACTACGCGAGTGAATTTACAGCACAACTGGCACAACACAAAATCTGGGTGAAAAATAGCTAGACTTTCAGAAGTACTGTGGAAAAATATAACTATAATTGCTGTACAGCTACAGGCAGTCTGTAACATTAAACAGAAAGTTACTTTCATTGTCATTTAACACATCAAGGCCTGAAGGATCACAAATAGTGCTCTAGAAAAACACAGATCAAAATAACAGCTATAATACTCATGAAAAAGTGTGTCACTCTTCAGTAATGATCACGATACATAGCATTTGCTGTATATATTAAAAAAAACGTAGAAAAGCATTCAACTCCTAAATATTCCACTAAATAAATCTTGTTGTTAAAAGTTCCATTTTAATGTGTTTGATTTCACATTTGTCTAATAACACAAGCTAAGGTGGTGTTCACACAACATCAATCACCGTCTCCCCAAGACACTGCAGCAGACCCCCCCCACCCTGGGTTCACCCTTCTGCCTTGTGTTTTCACAGTCAAGAGTGAGCAGAAGGGTCTGTTTCCACTATCTTCTGCATGCTGTGCAAATGATAAATATACCCCAGTGTTTTCAGAAGACCAAGATAAAGACAGATTAGGTGTTCTTCCTCTCAAAGAAAAAAAAAAATAATCACAGTTTTTAACAAGGTTATAAACTGTTGGAGGCAGGATAAAGGGAAAAAACCCCGGCTCCATTCCTGGCACGAGCAGAGAAAGCAGCTCAGTATCAGTCTTTTGCTGTGCTCTCACTGGACAGATGCTATCCCTATATGCCTTTGTGCGCACATTCCCAGGAGATCTCAGAACTCTGAAAAAAATCCATTCATTTTGAACATGCGAGAAAGTGGGCACAATATTCCAGAACACCGATTAAAAGGTACCTACTGGGCTTTCCAAGCATATGGAGCGAGACGAGGGAAACAGAAAGAGCATGCAGCACAAGAAACTGTACATAACCCAACTAATCCACCTCGCTGCTACAGAACTACAACTGAATTGTTCCAAAACACACCTGCTTCTGGAAGCATCTCAGTTCTGCTGAACGGTTTCTGGTCAATGCCACTAACACACCAGACTTTTTACACGAAATACAATATGGACCCACAGGTGCCTTAAATTCTAAAATAACATTTTGCAATTTTAGAATTGTGTTAACTGTGATAGACAATTGCATTAAGAGAAATGAAAGCAAGAATATGCTTATAATTAACATTACAAACCAAATCCTCCCTCCCATAGATGGTCTCTAAAGCGTCAAAATTGAACACACCCCAATAAACCCAAAACATAATTTAGGTAGCTGAAAAATCTTCATATATATCAGCCTACCTACGCCTACTCATTTCAGTTCCTTACACGTTATCTACTACGTTATCTACTTCCCTGAAAATACAAACATAAGCAGCCTATCATTTTGACTATTCTCTTCCCAACATCGTCAATGGGCATTATGCTTAATTTTCAGTAACGTAAATGAAGTCCTCACAAATGATTACTAAGTCTACAAAGCAAAACATTAAAAGAATACAGCCATCAAATGCAGTCAGAGAATTTAATTAATTAATTGCAACCCTATATTTTTCACATTAACCCAGAAGATAAATTCGTCTTTCTTTCACATTTTAGTAAGATTATAATTTTTTTAAAATACTAAATTAAATATAAGATAGCAATAACTCAGCTTTCATATACTTCAGTAAAATACAAAACAAAATGAGAAAATCCCCACCCCACCTCATTTCTCAAATGTTGTTGTTACTATACAGGCCCTCTCATACACTAAATTGTCCCAAAACAGACCGCAACAACCAAAACTGCGTTATAACAGAGTATGATCTCTCCTGGATATGGAGACAGTGAAAAGGAGTAACAAAAAAAGCTCTTCTAAGGAATACAGTTCTAAAGAGTTATCCCCACTGAAACAGAGTGCCCTGCATTATCTTCTTTCACTAAAGCAAACAGAGAATGGATGATTCCATTTGCTTTTTAATTTGTGAATAGGATTGAACCTGAAACACTACTGACCATTGAGCCCTACAAAGCAAATTATTCGTACAAAGGAGAACAGCTCTGATTGCTGTTACACTTCCTTGTGGTTTGGAACACTGACTAAAACCAGCAAGGAGAAAACTGCTCCAGCGCCACACTGGTGTTTCCCCAAGAGGGAACATATGGAGACCCCTTCCTCAAAGTGAAAAATAAGGGTTTGGGGGCATTAAATTAGGAAAGAAAACATTTCCTTTTAACTATAAAAAGACAAAATTAATATTTTAGTATTAGTGGCTGTTAAGTTTTTACGATACTGCTCATGTGATTCCACAGTTTTCTACAACAAATGAGATAGTCCTCTTTTATCAGGTTTCCTGGGTTGAGTGATGCTTTCACAGCACATAGCTACATATCTATAGTTTTCATAGCAATTTTGCCTTTGTAGGTCTATATTAGCTTACTTTAATTCCAGAATATTCTTCACTGATCCTTCAAACCTATAAAACTGAGGTTGGAACATTTTAAAATACTTTTCATTACTTGCTTAAATCTACACAATTATGTGGGCATCAGACATATTTTTTTGTAGTGGCAACAAAGCCACAAATAAACTAAATTAATCACATTTTTCAATGGCAAGTGTTTATAAAGATTTTAGTCAATGCAATCGAAATATGAAAATATGTCTACATGGAAAATGCATTTCTCTAAGAAATATTTCATGGCTTCAAATAAAAATTTAAAAAGCGTTTTTTTGGTACATCACCTTCCAGAACACTACACCTCAACCAAATTTATATACACAGGCATCTGATTTTTTTTAAATATCTGTGTTTATTCCTCACAGGAATGAAATTCAATAAAAGTAGAAATACTTTTCTGTTCAATGTAATTGAATAGTTCTTTAGCTATATACAAAAGAGAAGACATCATTAAAGAGAAGAAACCGCTTTTGATTTCCAAAGACATCATTAAGATGTGTTGTGTTCTCATTTTGTATATTTAGTAATTTTCCTAGCACTTTAAGGCAAATACTAAATACTGATTTTGCATAAATTAACTCAATTAGACAAAATGGCATAATCAAATATTCAGACAAACTGTTTGAGCAAATTTAAAATGTGGATTAAAAAGTCAAGGTCAAGACTCTCAGCTGGAACTTGGGAGTTTGCTGATTTTACCTGCAAGCCCTCTGCTGACAAAGCACGCCTCGCTCACACCGATACAGCAACGCATCTGCCTTTCGTTCTTTAACCTTCTCTTAATGATGACCAATTTGAAGCAACATCTGTACCAACAAACATTTTTCCCTTGATACTAACTGAACGGTAAACCCACACAAAGTACAGCAGCACCTGTTTCAGTACAAACAATCCCAATGAAATTCCACAACCGCCTGGTTCGCACTGCAGGGACACTAACCCTTCCGGTCACAAGTTTTACATCGCTGCTCAGAGGCTACAACGCTGAAGGTCTGATGCCACAGTCGTCTAGGATTCCCACGAATTCACAAGCGCCCCTCTTTCTTCTAACCCACCTTGAGAAGGGCATGCAGTAACCTGGACAGTTTTATCGTTGACATAGCAAAGAAGCGCACACACAGTCATCTATAGCGATGTACCACCATCGCTGGGAAGAACAGAGGTATAAGCAGACCTCGGCAATCCCAGAGCTTCTTTCTTTCTTCAGTTATTTACTGTTCCACCTATACGCCACTGAACAACAGACAATCCATCTCATCATCTCTTAAAGGAAAAAGGACACACACAACTACAGGAATTGCTGAACACATTCATCTAAGGCAGATTTCTATGAAGATTTTTAGGTTTAAGAAAAAAAAAAAAGTAATTTTATCCTCTCTTGATTTTAACTTTCAGATATAACATCAGTCTTGTTCATCACAATAGGCTCAAGGATCACCCTGGGAACATCTTCTCTTTCTCTTATCCTGACAACAACAAAAACATTACTGATCTCAATGGAAAATTTCTGCCAAAGTTTTATGAATTTAAGCAGCTAAAGACAGCCTTTAAAGGGAAAGATTAACAAGCACAGTTGGTCTTTCAAATAATTCTAGTGTAGACAACTGTTGAGCGCTGAAAGAACACGAGGACTATATAAGCATTTGAGAATCACAAACCATCTAGTCTGATCTCCCTTCTACCTGTGACAAAGCTTTTTTTCTTTTGCATCATTTGCAGATAAAGCAAAATATCAGAATCTAGTTAAGTTCTTTTCAATTCTTTCAAGACTGTTGAGCTTTTAGAGTCCCTATTGTATTGCTGAATTTCATCAAGTAACTGCATTTTACTAAATATGTTCTTATTGACCCACAAAGTGACCACCAAGGAGTAAGTTATTAGAAAAGAAATGGTTATTGCATTATTTATTATCTCTCTTGGGAAGCTCCCAGGGCAGAGGCTATTTCTCTCTGAAGATCTGGAAATTCCCTGTCATATAACAGGTACCTCAAAAAATAGTAAAAATGCTTTTCTACCAAAATATTTCCAGATGAGTCACTCAGCATCTTTAGAACAAATCATCATCCTCTTCAAAGTGTTCATCTGTGCCATATTAAAGTTACTGGTTTCTGGTTTCAAGAATCAAAGAAAAAAAATGTCGACGGGCTGTGTGCAACACTGACTCGATACAGCTGCTTCTAACAGCGCTCCTAAAAGGGCACGTGCTATCGGCAGCTCACAATTCCTGTAGCATTCATAATCCCATGATGTAAGAACAAACAAAGAAACTGGGAACAATGGAAGTCACTGCGCTTTCATTATCTCATACGAACGCGGCAGAAGTGCTGCACTGTGAACAATGAGAGTCTCCTTAGGAATGAGACAACACCCAGGCACGTGGATTGCCTTGGTTACAGGAAGCAGTAAGAAACAGACGTTTTAAGCAGCATTTGGACAGAACAAAAAAAAACTTGTTCATTTCTTATCGTGGAATAAATCTGAAGATAAATACTTGGTATTTTCTGCTTCAATAGCAAATTCACAATGCTGAACGAGGAGCCTTCCAAATATATCGTCCTTATACCAAGAAATAAAAAGGGTGAAAAACATCTCTCAGCTACACATTTCCATACGTACAGTTCTTCCTTCTTTAATAAAAGAAGTCCCCCACATATAGGGCATGTTTCTGTCTTGTTATCCTATCTAATGCAGATTTGAATTATGATGTTTCAAGCATTCCCCATCCCTGGGCTCTCATTCCTGTTCTGTATTTAAGTCAAATACAGGAGCACATTTCTATACCGTGCACACCAAAAAAAAAACAACCCTCATCCTTGTATAGCTATTAGGAACTCTAAATACAAAAAATATTAAAACACTGAAGTGGTAATTAATTTGAAGGAATAAAAAACCCGCAGGTTCATTCTTGCCTTCATGACATATCCTGTAACTCAAAGAAACACATCTATCTATTAGCAACTATTTAAACTTACATTTTGTGTATCATTTGGATTGCACCACTTAATTTGAAGGCAAATGTGCACCACATCCCCAAAACTGCAAATGTTGTAATCTTCCTCTTAAAAGGAATCCTCCATCAACTAAGAATATGTACATACATTTAATATTTTCCTAGCACTTTAACTGTAGTATTAGACAACTGTATATTCACATAGATAACAATTTTTCAGTAAAAATATTTTAATACTAAGCTTATGCTTACCTGATTCGAAAATCTCATGCTAACATTCCGCTGATCTTGTGGAGGTACATAACGTCCAATAGGGTCAATATCTTTAGGACTTACTAATTTGTCAGCTGAAAGTAAACGATAATAAAAGCACATGGTGACTTGAGCACTTTCTGCAGCTTTGTGAAGGAGGCACGCAAATGTATTTTACATAGTCAGTTCTGCTGCTATAATCTTTGGTTTAGATCAACGATTTACAGATCAAAATGACATTCTGCAAAACTGTATTAACTTTAAAACTAATGACTCAAGCATCATTCTTGCTATAGCTAGTTACAATACTGTAGTATATAAAAACAATCCTTTATTTCTTCACTGAGATTTGTTAAAAGGATATATGCAGACAACAGACTCTACAAGTCACATAAAAAGCCCTCAATCCACAACCACGGAATTATTCTAGAGTTTTAACTAGAAACTCAGTGGTTACTATCAAAAATTGTTTAGCTTTGAAGAAAAGCAGACAGCCGTTATCTCAAGGTAATCACACAGCTATAACGCTGAAAAGGGCAAGGGATATCAAAGATATCTCTCAATATGATACTTCAAGAAGAAATTGTAAAAAACCACAATCAAATATATTTGAAACCTAGCATTTCTACATGGAGTTTTTTTTACATGGGAAAAAAAAAACAACCCAAACCTAAAATTCCATTATTTTAACCTTCTCCTAAAAAAAAATTAAGTACTCCAATAAAAATATACTATTAAAAATTTTCAACAAATATCTTGAATAAAGGTTCGCAATCTACCGTGGACTATTACGCCTGTCAAATAAGCATTCTCCTATCGAAATCTCATTTTGACATGAAACTGTCCAATCTCTATTTAATTTGTGCTAGACAGGATGTCACAGTGCATTTCCATTTCTCCTATATATGTCAACAATTTTGCAAATACTGTTAAAAAGCTCTATCCTAGGAAGTCAGCTATGAATCTAAAAGAGATTAGACTTCATTAGCTTAATTCAGCCACAACAGAAAACCATGCTGTCTTGATAAGAAAAATATTTCTGAGTACTACAGCACGTAGTAAACTAAGACAACAGTTTATAAACTCAAAATATGTCCTGGCTCAAGCTTCAAACTGTTAGGAAAAGACAGAGAGCAGAATAAGACGGTGCGGTGGAAAGAAAACGCATGGGCAGCCACTGACGGACACTGGCTGGGCCGTTCCCCGAGCACGCAGAGAAGGAGCCTGCTGCTGCCGGGAGCGACGCCAGCGCCTCTCAGCTACAAGACGCTGCGACCATCTCCTGTCCTCAGCCTTCTGCTGGAAGAAGAATGGAGCTGGACTCCTGCCAGAGTCCTGTCCCGCCTACTCCTGATGAGTCATGATCCAGGTACAGGTGGATCAAAAAAGCAAAACTAGATTATGAAAAATTACCACGGACAATTTATTAATATACTGACATGTGTCTTAGTAAAATACATTTTACACCAGGCGACACAGTCACACTTCTTATGGCTGGCTAAAGGCATGGGAGTTACTTAAATTATTTGTAGTACTGCCTATGCTATCAAATTGATTCAACAAATGACTGCAAGATCAACAGACTGCCTCAAAGTTCTTAAAAGCAAGAGCAGTTTCTAGAATGTGTGTTCTATTTCCACTGTTTTTTACACTGACTTACACGCTCAGTAATTAAAATATATACTCTGAATAATTTCATATTTAAACCAACTATACCAATTGACTAATATAAAATTTACGCTAACTTTCATGTTTACAATTTTATTTAAAAGAGGAATCTCGGTGAACAGTCATCACTATTATCACAAACACAAGTATATCGGAATGCAAAAGCAGAGTTTTCTATGTTAGATCATTATTTCCATCAGCAACAGCCGACAACTTTAATCCATTTGGTCTATACTCTAAAAAATACTGCTAAAAACTCTTAACTTAGGTCTAGGCAGCACTGAATCCACAGAACAAGACATAAAAATGACAAGGAAAAGCACAAGAAACATGAGAGCTACTAAATGAAAGACTAAACCGAGTGACTTTTCCGTTGCACAAACCAGCTGAACACCCGGAATTCCTTTTAAAAGCATTCCTTTTCTGTGCTCTAAAATGAGGACCTGATCATAAAGGCTTTACAAACCTCCTCAACCAGAGCAAGAAAGAAATTCTATGAAAAATTGCATCACTGTCTGCAAAATGCATGCTTGTTTTTCTTCATAAACAATTTTTTCAGTTGCGTAGGCACGTGGTGACTTCCAACAGCCATAGGCAGACACTGTCGTTGCCTCTGTTGTTCAGAGCCTTTACAAGCAGGATCAAAATTTTGACCTCGCTACTTCTGTTTGCCCCTCTGTGGGAGGCAGCGACATGTATGAGAATTGACTCAGTTTCCTGGTGCTGCATTTAGAGAAATTTGGACCGCAAGAGGCAGCCGCTAGGCCCACTGACAGAGGCAGAACGTAAAACAGGTATCCATGCCTGCACAACAGAAGCAAGGAGGCTGAGCAAATACAAATTGTTACCCTTGAGGCCACACAACCATTTCTGGAATGGATGATGAAACGGGAAATCGCTACCTTCCCAGTAATCACAGTGTTTGGAGCCCCATCCCTGGAGGTGTTCAAGGCCACGGGGGCTTGAACAGAACGGGGCTTTGAGCAACCTGGTCTGGGGGGAGGTGTCCCTTCCCAGGGCGGGGGGTTGGAACTCAATGATCTTTAAGGTCCCTTCCAACGCAAACTATTCCGGGATTCTATGCATCTGCCTTCCACATAATTAGCAATGACCAACAAGCAAAGTAACACACACACAAAGACTTTCACCAAGGACAAGATTGTTATTCAGGTAGGTTTTCACCCAGAAAGGAGCAAAATTAAATGCACCAATTATAAATTAGTATAAATAAATGGGAGTTCCTGATCTAACAATCACCGGTGAATTGATTTGGCTTCGCAATTAAATTTCCAGACCCTATTTGCAAAGCCTATGAGAAAAAAGGAAAAAAAAAAATGTTTTGAAAAAAGGGAGAGAGGAATGAAAAGCAGTGAATACAGTGGAGAGAAATTTTAAAACAATAAAGGAAACAGTTACTCATGATAACATTTCAAAGAGAGATTTAGCACAATTATTAAAAGAAATAGTGTGTAAGAATGTTCAGCAAAACAAAAGAACTGAAACAAAACAAAAGGAGGTTACATTCATCAAACAGCACTTGGCAAACAATACATACAGTTTATTTAAGCAGCATTCTGCAGGCATGGAAGTACACAAATATTACTACAATATTCCTGCACACACATTAGAGGATTACTTGGCTAATATTAAGAGCTTAAATTAATTTTTGTTTTACTTTAAAGGTGAGATTGCCTGAATTTACTTTAGTGTTGGCTAAAAAAGGAATCGTGGAAGGAATACAGTGAAACCAAACAGGTGGAGCACCAGACGGACTCTGTTCTTCCATACCTACAGATACATCCACTGTTCCTGCCAAGTCTTGAATTTTTAAACTCCCCTTGAACGTTTCTCATTTTTACTACCAACAGCCTGTTTCCATTTACAGTCATCACAGCAGAAAAGTTTTTAGAACTCAATCTACTGATTACTAGGTAAATTCTGAGCATGTTAAAATAAAGTAATATATCTTTCTCCTAAAAGAAATATTAAGAAAAAAAATCTTAATGGTGAAGACTTTTCTGGCATAACAACTGGTTTTGTATTAGCTTTTGAATCATCTCAAGTTAGACCAAGAATTCATTTGTGACTGACATCCACCATAACAACCTTCAATGGCCAAACTTTGAAGTGCACTTTCAAATGTTCATCTAGTCTCTGCTATTTTAAAGAAAAAAATAACACAGACCGAAGAAGATATTAACTTCATCTGACACAGCAACTATTCAAAGTTTAAACTTGTCTTGCTTAAAGCAGTAAATAATTTGAATTAAATGCTATAGATCACTTACAAACATCACTTGAACAGACGCAGCTGATATAGTTAATCCAGAAAGTGTCATGTTAATATATTTTGTCATGAGGAAAAGGAATTAAGACAGAAAGCCAGGAAGGGAAACAGCAAAAAAAGAAACCTATCATGTTTAGAAGATTTTCAGTATTCTATAAAATATTCCAGTAAGCTTCATAGTATGCTGAATGCAGCATAAAGTTTTAACGTAAAGAATAAAAGGAATTTTTGCCTATCGCGTATGTACAAAAGCAGAGGACGCACACGCCACCCATAGTCCATTCAGAACTCAAGCAAATGTGTTTGTTCAGATTCAAGAAAAACATTAACAAAATAAATATCCTTCACTTTGGACAAGTCAAAACCTGACAGAATTTCCTCAGCCTCTTACCCAGGAGTTTTGCAATGATGTAAACCGCCTGTCCCCACAAGAAAAACTTTCCATCACGTCCATTGTTACTAGGAAACCGTTTCTGACTGCCAGGGTTCTTCTTTTCCAGTTCAACAAAATCAGCTGGTACATAGTAGTACTTGGGTACAACAGGACACCCTACGGAGTTTTAAAATAAGTACAGTAAGTAAATAAATTCCACTTCCCTTATTATTTCATTGTAGTCCCCGAATAAAGCTAAAGTGGATTCAAAACAGGAAAAACGATACCCGATACCCTAGCAACAATTTAATTGAACAGGAAGACTGTTGTCCTTCATTGTTATCTCTCAAAACCACAACCAGGGTAGGAAACCCAGGGCAATATTAAACTAAAACCTTTGTTTTCACTAAACGTTGCCACAGACTTTCTTCCCAGAACACACACATTGTCTGTGTGGCACCTTAGTGTGCAAAAATAAAAAACCCAATATTTTTTACCTAAAGCAAAATGCAGTACAGATAACAAACCGTAACCAAAAGAAATGAAAGCTGCAGCAGAGTGAAACACTCGGAGTGTTTTTCCCTGCATTTAACACCAGCTCAATAGCAGACAACTTTTTCTAAGCCAAAAGTAGTTAATCATTTAATTAAATGAAAATTATAATTTTTTGCAAGTACACAAAACCAAGTTAAAAACAGCATTTTAATTCTGAAACATCATGAAACAAAATGGCAAAACTTCTTCATTGGAATATAGCATACCTTGTATCTAGAATTATGCCACAGGTATTACTGATCATTGTAGATGAATAACCTTTATTTCAACACTTTTTAAGTGGACAAGAGTCAGGAATTTAGAAAGCTAATCACAAATGACTGACCTAATTATATGCAATACAAAAGCAAATTAATACGTTTTCTGCAAAATTCAATTTCACCGTAATATTGCTTTAATTTTGAATTTGTTTGGATAAAAAACAGGTGATAAACAGAACAAAGTTGCAGCGTCTGACTGTTTGCTTAGAAAAAAAAATTGCTGGCAAGAAGCTGAGAAAAATTGAAAAGTGGGAGTTATGAGAGATAGAATATTCAAATGAGTGAGGTATCAAAACACACCCAGAGATTTTAAGGCGAGACATTCATGATGACATTTAGCAAGAGGAACCACAGAATTAATTTTGTGTCCATGAAATTTCACATCCTCATTAATAATGAGAAAAAAGTAATGATCAGCAAGGTCAGAAAATTTGATATGGAAATGAAATTTCCATATGGAAATGAAAATTTGGCAAGGAATTGTTCGTATTTCTTGCAGAAACTAGTTCACTTCAACAAATATTCTAAGTTTAAAGAACGAGCCAGACTAAAATACTCTGCATCTACTTGTGTAACTGTACCACAGATGTCAAGAACAGGGAACAGGTGACTAAAGATGCTGAGTTTTAAAATTGGACTGTCAGTATATTGAAGCTTCTTTTGTTCTCAGGCCATTTTTTTTCCTCATACTCAAAGGTATGGTGTTTTGGTTTTTTTTAAACTGAATTTTGGATGGATGTGCCTGTAGGCCGTCAATAGTCTTGTCTGCAGTTCCACCAAAATTCTGGAGTGCACAGTAAGAGAACATTTATATTAAAATTTTTCACTGCTCTAAGCTAAAACCAATCTCATATGCATATACCAAATTATTTTTTAAAATCTTGTGAAACTTCACAAGACAGTAAATGACACAAGTAATTCTTGACTGTATCCAGGTGGAACATTGAAACAGACCGAGTGTTGGTAGTTAACATCTTCCTGCAAAGTCAAAGTGAACTCTGTAAATAATGAAGCAGAGGAGGGGAAGAATGACCGAGTACAGTGTAAATCGTACATTTATGAGTAGCATTTTTGCAGATACATTGTACCATAAAGTGTGATAATAAAAGTAATGGTATCTATATGAAAGTGATTGTTTTAGTATTTTGCCATCAGGAAACACAGTGATAATATTACTTCTCCTTTGCTCTGACCGCAACATCCATTAATAGGGATGTCAGTATTTTAGTAACTTCAGACCAATAAAAAGCTACAGTGTTTTAGAAGAATGAGTATCAGATAATACCTTCAGATGTATGTTGAAGCAAAGGATCCAGAAGATCCTGATATTCCTTTACTTGTGCAGGATTTCCTCTAAAAACTCCTAAAAATAACCAAACAGTAATTGATTTAATGGAAGAAATAACTTTTCTGTGAGCTTAATGTTCATAAAGGAAGAAGAAAAAAATCTAACGTTTATTTTTCAACGGGTTAGTGCCCACACACTAAATAGTTCCTGAAAAGTAAAAGACTAAACTGCAGATCCTCACTTACTGCTACAGCTAAATCTCACAGGGATCATGAACCAGCCACTCTCTCATTAGCTTAAACTGAAAGTGACGGCAAGCTACACGGGACAGTGAAGCTGTGAACTTAGAGGTGCTCAGGAACTGGACGCAGACAACCAGCCCAGCTAGCTGTAAATAACTTCCTTAATTTCAGCAGAATGAAGAAGCAGAGGTGGTGTGCCAGTGGGGAGACATACAAGCAGGTTCTAAATCTTCAGGGCAGTTACAAACTGATCTAGAAGAGAGTTGCCTGCAAACCCCAATAAATAAATACAAAAGGCAATTTGTAGTAGTAAATTGAAAAATTCCCCTCCAAAGATTTTTAGATGGAATGTTTACATTGATAAGTTATATATGTTATATCTTCATATTGTAGAGGTTCAGAACTGCTGACACACCTCGAGATATTAAGTAGAACAGTCAACTCCTTATGATGCTGCTTTTGGGGAGAAATTGGTAAGTTTGGGAGTACCAGTACCTTAAATGTTTTTCTAGCAGAACTTAGTCATCCCAAAATGAATCTGATGAATACTAAGATGACCGGTGTTCAGTTCATCAGAAGTCCTTACATGAAAAGATATATCAAAAATACCAAAAGCATTTCTGTTCATCAAGGATGAACCTGACAAGTCACACTGACTTTTTAAAATGCAACATTTTTTAACAGTTAAAGTGGAACAAGTTAGATGAAAACTTTTCATTGTACATCTTTCACTTATTTTTGTCCATGGTCTTCCTTTTCAGTTACCATATTCTTCCGTATATGAAAAATAGCTGTAATGTTTCCCACCTTACCTTATCCTAGAAAGTTACCATAATCCCTCATATTGAACTAGAAACGTGAAAAAGCTTTCAAAAATGATACTCAAATATGTCTTGTACAAAAAAATATAGTCATACTGATTGATTTAGTTCAATCCTTTCCTACAGCTATAGATGCATATCTACTACCCAGAGAGTCCTAAACAATTTCCTTTTGAGAAAAATCCTAAAAGGAAATTAGTACTAAAGCAACCTTTTTGTATTCTTAAGAAGGGTGAATTCTGAAAGCCAAAAATAAGACAAAAGAAAACCACAAACTCATCCACTAAGACCAAATACACCAGAACATCCTTAGTAGAACAAGTTAAAGTATGTTTTTCATTAGGCAATGTATGTATATAAAAAAAAGTCACAAAAAAAAAATATATTTTATGTTATTTTAAGAATATCCAACAAATTATTCTACTGAAAAGCCGGAGTGCAGTAGAAAGCTGGAATATGACTACTTTAGAGAGATTATATTCTTTTCATGGCTCTTCAATGCTCTGTCCAAAACCAAAGCGTGACAAGTGTTGGTCATTACATGTTCAAATATTCCCCAGTATATATACAGGAAATGAAATCAGTTGCCAACAGAAACAAATGCAATGCAAGTTTGCAGACAAAAAAGGGTATGCTTAACTGACACACTGAACTATTTCAAAACACTTGAGCACAGTCATGACATAAAAGCACTATGATATTGAGGACAAAAAGATGCATTTATGTGAGAATACAATTGCTTTTATATTAAGAACCACCTAGTGAAGATAACAGTTGGGCAATAATGATCATCATCCATGAGGAATAAAACAGTATTCTTAATACTACTAGAAAATTTAGTAGTATCTACTCGCCAGAACTGTTTTAACTTTCTGTATCTTAAAATTCCTAAAAAGCTGTCATTGACAAAACAGGAAAGTTCATGAGCTAATTAGTTTGTCTTATAAGAGAAAATATAAGTAAATATATAATAAATATATAGTCACTTGAATACGTTCTGCTAATGTTTCAAAAAGGAAACGATGAATGAAATTTTGCTGATGTGAACAAAATTGAGGGATTATGGACTATGATGTCTCTGCCATGGCAGGGGGGTTGGAACAGGATGATCTCTGAAGACCCCTTCCAACCCAAACCATTCTGTGATTTACAAGACTCTATCCCCCCACTGAATGGAGCACTGTGCCACTGTTACAGAGGTAACAAAACTCAGCTACCGGGAGTTACCTACATACTCAGCAGCTTAACACACTTCCTTGGAAAGGCTTTCCTTTGTACTCTGCAAGTGTGTTGGATGGGCAAATAGGCTCTCATCTGAACCAGTGTGCACAATGTAGCAGCTTGAGGGGCTTTCTGGGTTTTTGTTATAAAGACACGCAACTGTAATCTACTCCTCCTCCTCTTTCATTGTCATTTTGCAGTTTAAGTCACTCTGTATACACTTCAAATTTTGCATTATGGAAGCTTGTGGATTTGGAGATACGTGCACAAAATCTACTAATAGAATTGTTCTATTTGATGAAATTGTGGTACAGGAAAAAAGACAAGGACGATATGTGCAAAATATCTATTTTGTACTTTTTCTTTGTAAGACAAGAAGAGTAAAATGCTTGCTTTATTATTCTGTTAACTTCAGTTAAAGATGATTATCTTTCCTGTTCTTTCCAAAACTGCAAGTGGGCAGCATTAAACGACAGTGCCTTTCTTCTCAGTTTTGGGCAGCACTCTTTGAAAAACATCAAGCATTCCTTTAGAAAAATCAATTGTGAAACCTTATTACAGCTTCAAACAAAATACTTTAATCTCTAGGGGGCCACAGTGGAATCTAAGCAGATAGCAGATTTCTATGCACCTCACCATCTTTATTTGAAAACTATTCAACTACCCCACACTCTAAAGGGAAAAAACAGATGGCCAGATTTTCATCCATTTACAAATCTTTTTCCTGGCTGTAACTCCTACTCATTTTCTTATTCAGATTTTTGTTCTATGTAGATTTTAGCTTCCACCCTGAAATCGTCCCATGAACTGTTCTGGTATGTCTCCTATCCTCAAGACAAGGTCTAGGTAGCGTTTTTTGTTTTGTTGTTTTGGGTTTTTTTTTTTTGGTTGGGGGGGTTTTGTTTTGTTTTTTAAATCAGACTAACTGGCTACGTGGAAAAACACCGCCAGGAACCACAGGCATTTCAAAGAGAAACTAGGCCTTTTCTGGTTTGCTTTCTTCTCTTCTGAATTCTGTTTCAATTGCCACAGAATATCCAACTTGAAAAGACCTGCTGCAATATTCAGTTTGTCAATGTGTTCTCTCTTCTACTTCCTTTTCTCTCATGTGCTGCTGTGAAGTTCTGATACACTGTGAAAGTTTTTAAGGTTTAAAAGGCAATGCAGGACTGAATGTCACAGATATAAGCTTTTAAAAAACCCATATTGAGTTATGCTGAAATATGGAGAGTTGGGTGCTTGGGGGTTTTTAACCCATGAGGCAGAACTCTAAATGAGATATTTAGTGTCACTGCATTATGGTTTATTTTGGCAGGACAGGAAAATCATTTCTTATCCTTCCTCTAAGGGCTCATCTCTCTAATGCCTTTAAAAGAACAGGAATGTAAAGCTGTACGTACCATCAATTATCATGAAAATAAAAAACAGAGGGAATTCACACTCAATGCCATCAAAAAGCTGAAAAGAAGAAAAATTAATCAGACATTTAATCATTTTGATTTAAGGAAATGTATTTGAATATCCTATTGAATAATTTTGAAGCAATAAAAGACAAACATGAACACAAAAACATTTTAGTAGATCAGCTTTCCATTTAGCTTACAGCTTCTTAATTCTATGGGGACTTTAACTGTGCTTTTACATATGCTATGTCTCATTCTCAAGCAGAATATTTATATATCTATGCTTTATTTTCCACAGAGAAACTATCGAGGAGTAAAAAAGAGTAAATTTTCATTTAGATAACCTTTACTGATAAACACTGTGGTCAAAAGCAAAATTGTTTTCCATACACTCAGACTGTAGTCAGCTGTGAAATTAAATAAAATGATAAATAACTTCCTTATTTGTTATGTGAAATCAACTGTACCCTATATGTAAATGGAAGCACATTCATTACAAAACAAATCAATGACTAACTTGCTGACTCAGCAGTCTCTCAAAACTGCACATGCCAAATTACAAAATGCATCTCCTTCACTTGAAGCAATTAGGAATCATTGTGCAATTCAAATCGGAAATACCAGGGGTAGGGTGTCTTGGTTTCTTTTCTTGTGGTTTTTCTTTGGGCAGACTCTGTTTTGGGTTTTGGTGTTGGGTTTTTTGGTTGTTGGTTTTGTTTGTTTGTTTTTGCTTTTTTTTTATTTTTTATTACTGCCTAAACATTTCAGAAAACCAAAATTTGTCCTTATATAGGCCATGTATTCCTTTACCTTAATTTCTGCTGGTTTATAATAACGTCGTGTTTTGTCCTCCAGCGCTGTTCTGTACCCATCTCTCAGAAATCTTTTAAACCCATATTTTCCTTTCAGTTTTCTAATAATTTTATCTAGTGTTTGACTGAACAAAACCTCATCATCCAAAGCAAATGCAGGATAACTGAGACAGGCCAAAAGAGCTGCATCAGTATTCTATAGGAGTGACAGAAACAGCACATTACAAATTTAATTAGATCTCTGACAATTATTTGATGCACAAACAAAGACTGTTTAACTTACTAATTGAAATATAATCTTATTTTTATCAAAATCATAGTACTAATATATTAAAATAGTGTGCAAAATAAGACTTCTAAATATGTACAAGGATAACCCACAAACCCAATATTCAGATATATGATTTAAAAGAGAACTCATTTGACTCAAAATCTGACCTACTTTACAGTTGATAATCTGCAGGGATAAGTGAATACATTCTAGAACTTTGTGGCTTCAGAAACAAAAAAATATCCTCCAGGTTATTCCTGGAGGAAACACCAACGTTTGGGTAGCCTACACTCAAAAAGAATCACAAACATTTTATAAAGGTGCAATGCTGAGAAGTAACTATGATTAAATCATCATTTCTGAAAAGCTTTTTCAGGAATATTCTTCAGGTGCTGTAACAAACAAGACTATCTGATTTGCAATTAAGGTGATAAGGGAATAATTTCAGGAAAAAATAGGAGTAGCATTTCTCAAGAACCATGTGCTACTATAATGAATTAAAAACACAAGAAAAATTACTAACTAGTGCATCACCACTACACTAAGTGAGCTTACAGAAACACAAAAAACTAAAAAGTTCTAATTCTTACGTTACGCACTGCTTTGTTACTCCTTTTTGCTGATATATCTAAGATATTCAATCATTTAAAATACCATCTTTTTGCCAATATCGTTGATGTGAATCCAAAACAGGAAAAAAAAAGGATAGGAGGATCACTTCTGTAGCATAAGTAACTTATAAAACTAGCTTCTATTGGAATATTACAAGTCTCCAGCAAATAATAAACAGCAAAAGAGTTCTAAAAGACCGCTAGACTATAAAAAAGTAGCTGACAGTGCCTTTTATTTTAATTATCCAGTATTACAACTCTGCTATAATTCTTCTACACAATAAGTAAACTATTAATGTTGAAGATTAATAGTCTGTTTCATGACCAAAATGCTATTATATCCCAGAATGCACAAAAAAGCAGTAGAACTCTACTATCACTCATTTTAAATTACTGATTTTCAAACCCCAAATTTACCTTTGATGCTAGTACTGATTTTTTTTTAAAGTTCATTTATACTTATGTCACTTGGATTCACTTACTGAGGAAGCATTTGTAACAGTAGCTTAAAGTAATGAGAAATCCTCCATACTCAGCAATTTATGAAAAGTCAACCTTAAAGGCTTCTTTTCTGGACAAAAGAATGAATTAAAGCTAAAGTGTTTCAAAAATGCGGGCACTGAGTATATAGTGGAAACTAGGCCAAAAGAAAAACAATCACCAAGACTGGAAACCCTACCTAAATTACTGCAGATGATTATTACCTTAAATTTTATTTTAAAATTGTTTAGAAAGCTACCAACAGGGTACCATTTTAACCTAAATATTCAGAAAATAAAGAATGCCATCATAATTCCACTTCAGAAAAACAACTAAATCACAGTGACATTTAAGAAGCAAAAAATTTAGTACCTTCCCGGCAAATTCCTATCTTTATTACGCAGAGCATAACGGCCATCAATAGAACTTGAAATTATATCCATATCCATTTATTTTCTTCACACCCTGTTGAGATGAATTTCATTTAATTACTTACATGAGACCTTGACTCTCGGGGTAGCAATGAACAGAGAGTCTGTCTGTTACGGTTATGGGCATCAAAATCCACAAATATAACAGACCAAGAGCAGCCCTGCAAACAGAACATGACATACATTTAAGGGGAAGGGAAGAAAGCTTACCATATCCCGGTGAAACTAACTGGTTCTTTGTTTTATTTAGGTATTGTTGTAATAGTCTGGTAGCTGGTAATTTTAATCTGAAAATGTACCACAACGTCAAGTTGAAAACATTTTGAATTTTCAAACGTATTTAAATATAGCCAAAATTAGATGGTTTCATCTACTGGTGACCATCATTTATATGGCTCATTCAAGCTATAAACTCTTCCATTAATTCTTGAAAAACAATGACTGTATTAAGGACAAACAGAAAAGTAGTTGTCCCTCCCTGTGACTGCAGGAAGCGTTCCAAATAGCGATGTTGGATATTTCATTGCAAGTCAGTTAAAACACAAATAATTGGATATTCACCTGAGGTACTGTACTGGAAAAGGGCTTCCATAGCAAATAAAAACATCCTGCTTTTCAGCTATTGTAAGGTCAACATTATCGACATCTATTCCTTAGCAAAACCCTTTTCCTAGTAAAATTCTGTAATTTTACACTATATCTCTCCATCACCTTTTTGATACTTCCTGAAACACTCAAAAAAACAATGAATCCCATAGCTGAGACACGGTTTAAACAGAATCAACAGCATTTAAAAGTATTATCAATAGGCTATTGCTTGGAAACTCAATGCAGTTCCTTAATGAACGGCTATCTTCATATATGTTGTCATTGACAATGAATCTCAATATCACTATCTCATTGGAAGACACATTCAACACTGAACTCTTTCCATTACTGTCATAAATACCAAACCATAAATTTTCATAAATTCATCAAATTTCTCCTAAAACACAGTTTCTTTGGTATACTATTCTCTTAGGAAGACAGTTCCAGAACGTACCCTCTCTAATTATTAGAACCTTTCATTTCCAACTAAGTTTCTCCATAACTAGCTAACCACCGCTCTTTTTGTGCCAGTACTAGCATCCATTCATTCTGCTTTCCAAACAACGGAGGTTTTTTCTTCCTTACTTTTTACCCGCACTCTAATTATACATAGCTATCATACAAATACTCAGCTTTTCCTTTGCTAGGCTAAACAAAACATATTTCTCCCCTGTCCTCACGGAAAATAATCTCTCTGTTCTCTTGATCATTCTAGCAAGATACACTGAATACTGCCGAGATAAGAATGTACATAAATAATCACATTTGCTTTGATGATTTGTTATTCTCCTACTTTCTTCTTAATCCAGATTCTGACTATTCACAAATCTCTAAATTCATCTACAAACTCTGAACACAATCTGTCAACATGTGTGAACATGCAGTTTCAAAATCTGGGCGTCAGTAAAGGATTCTTTGGGGATTCAAAAGCAGACTAATTTGCATTTCATAAAGCCACAAGCATCTTGTTTTACAAATGAACTATTTTTCACTTCTCTGAAGATTGTAAAGTTCTGTAGTAAAGACACCGTACGAGGGCTTGATGGGTTTTTTAACATACCTTTTTTTCCTGCAAACTAATATAGGGCATGTAGCTCATATACAAACAACTGATTATAGTATGACTAGGTCAGACTTGAAACGGTGTTCATCTTGTTGCCAGCGGTTCCATTTTAGTGCATAGATGCATGCACCATGCACTGAATTCATTAACTCTCATTGCTAGTAAACGCGTATGCTCTTATGTAGGTTTTTAGATAATACGTATTTTTTTCTAAAAGGTATTGTAGCTAAAATGGAATTCTTACATTAATGATACAAATTCTAAGCTGATTATACTCTGTGATACTCTGAAACCAGAGGTTTAGGTTAACTATATCAAGCCCACAAAAAGATAAAATAAGTTACAGTACTTTTAGTAGTGATGATTCTAAAGTGATTCAGTAAAAACATAAACTGAAATGTGATCAGTTCACACTGCATCCTAAATGTAATAAATAAGGAAATAAGTATCAGGCCCACTTTTACAGTTCTTCCATACAAACATCAGCAGAAGGACAATACAGTGATTTCAGGATCTGGCTACAATCAATGCACAGTTAAGGATTATAACAGAATTCTTATGCCAATGTCATACATATTAACTGCTTCATCTAGATTTATAACTATTGTTTCAGAGACAATACATTGGGAATAAATTTAAGAAATTTAGCATAGGATATAAAGCAAAATAATGAGAAACTAAATAACTCATTTACCTGTTATATTAAAAATTCTCTTCTCAATGTGTGAATAAATCTTATTACGGAGGGAACGTTAGGATTACAGCTTGACTGTATTTTTATGCTTACAGACTTATACGTAGACTATATTTATGCTTATAACTCCTGCTTTTTATGAAACACTTCTAGTATGATGGAGATGAAAATGAACAGCATTTAAAAACCATGATTGAACTCCTTTTTACATTAAAGCATGTAAAATTCAGATTAAACGAAAAGCCAATTAGTTTTTCAATTGATAAATGTTTCTTATTGAAAACTATAGCAAAGAAAGTATAGAAAGTGTGTAGAAAAGTAGAAATTAGGAAGCATAGCAAAGGACTTATTGAAATTATTTGAACATCAGTTAAGCAGTGCTTTGTTACAGAACAAAAACTAGAATGATTTCTTACAGAAATACATTCTTTGTAAATGTTTTCTGGAATTTGGGGAGGAAGGGAAGGGACAATTTAATGTGACTATCAACAATAAGTGATCTTTATTTTGTCTTCTCTGGGTATATCCATGAATACACAGGGAAACGGCGCTATCATGATATACTCAAAAGATACGTAACGCGCATGTGTGAGAGCACAGCTACAATCCTACAGATTTGTATTTATTAGTCTCTTCCAGCATTCACAGCATGAATGGAAAAATCTGCATGGAAAGGCTGAGCAGGCTGTTGTGCCCAGCAATGATTTATGCAGGTTGCACTAGTGCAGTTGCAGGTGCAAACAAGTTCCTCTTGAGGGGCTCAGCAGGATTTCTCAAAGCTATCCGAACACAGCTGGAGCTAAGCACAAAGGCAAACTCTGCCGCAGACTGAAGGTCAAAATGGTTTCTCTTTGTGCTAAATATCTTGGAAATAAACTCTCAAAGCATTTAAACTGGCTTTGCTTCAGCAATTTGTTCATCCATTTCAGAATTGAGTGAAAAAAAAAAAAAGAAAAAAAAACCCAACTGCTGATGCATTTACTGGTGCTTGAGACCGCTGGGAAGGTAAAGACTGTAGATAAATGGTTTTTGTCTGAAATACTAACAATGTGTGTATAGTGTCTGATCATTATTTAAGGTCCTTACTAGCTCCTAGTACTTAACCCATAACATCAGCTTTTAAAATGTACGTAAACCAAAAGTAGCCCAAATGGCTAAGTCTTTTTGAAACAGTGTATCTGTGTATGTATAAAGAGTACTTTCATACTTCTCCACTCATCAGCAAACAGACATCAGTATTCCTAAGGAGTGGATTCTAAAAAGAACAAGTCTACTGTACCACAGTACTAGTACAAATATACAGATGCAAAAAACACCCAAACAAACAAAACCCAAAAAACTCCTCCAAAAACCAGTATCTCCTGGTTTATGTCATAAGACAAAGAAGGGTCTAATAACAGTAAGTGGTACAGCTTTTCATCAATGGATAAGATTGCTTAATAGATCATATTTCTATGTCAATTGCTCACTATTTAAAACAAATTGTAACATATTTTTCATCACAGGCATCTGAACATCTCTAAGAAGTTTTAGTTTAACATTGTTTTTATGTGAATAAACTATAAGGAAGAACTTCTTGTCTAATAGTGCTAATAATTATTTTATATGACTGTTGCAATCCATATCTTCCATTTTACCAACAGAAAAATAGAGACACAAATAACTAAGAACGATTGAATAAATCAAGCAGTATGGAAAGGAACTTGGAATGTAATTTGGACTGTCTCCCAGTCACACTTTTACAGTTGACCTAGCTTTTACTCATTAGCTCACACAAAGAGCACCTGAGAATTCCCCTTATTCACCATTTACCATTTTACCATCTGTATTGTCTCTCCTTTGTACTATTTTCTTTATGCCAAACCAGTGCATTTAACCAAGTTTCTTAAAGCTGAACATTTAACACAGATAAGCACCACAATCAAAGTCAGCTCCATCTGGCTTACAAAACAAACAGGAGAGCACAGGTATTAAATAAAGATGCATGTAGAAAAAAAAAAATGCATGTAGAAGGGGAATACAGTATTAAATAAAGAGGGGGAAAAAAAACCCAAAAAACTATCTTGAAGCCAGCAAGAATATACAGAAACTTTACTGAAAAAATACAAAAATAGTATTCAAGGTCACAATTATAAAATTATTAAAACCCAAAAGGATCATATATTGCCTAACTGCAGAAAAAAATAAGTAGGTATAAAAATAACCTGTTCAGGTAAACGGGTGTCATTTTTTAAAATAAGTTTCAAGTGTTGGTCGACCATAAGAAGAAGTAAAGCATGTTTCATCAATTAATGTTTACCTTGTATGAAATACAGACATTTGGGCATGTGAATAAGGTCCACAAGTCAAAAAGAATGAGATTGCAAGAAAACTGTGCCATAAGGAAGGCATTACTCAGCGTCCTGACCTCATCACTCGGTGACCAGCCTATCCTCCCTTCCACACAATTTACAGACAACGCTCACCAGCAAGTTTTGTAACTATTTCTACACGCACTTGATGCTATCCAGCTTTCTTTTTAGCTGCACTCCTACCCTTTATTTCCATTTATTAATAACACCAATAGCTTGACAATAACATATGTCTTCCATTTGTAAATTTTCTAGGTCATTAATTTGGAAGAGTACTCTTTTATTTTAGCTATAGACTACTTAGGTATAACACCTAAAAAAAATGCATGTAGAAGGGGAATACAAGTCAGAGAGAAAAATCTAAGAAAAGGCTTGCTTTCTTCATTGATCCAAGCCACGCAAAAGGATGAGAAAAGATTTTACCACTACGCAACCTGCCGAAATTAAAACCAAATAGAACAGTGGGATTATGTACAAGTAGCTTGTTTAAAGTCTTGATCACAAGCCACATGAAGGAACAAGACAGAAGTACGGCAATGCTTGTAGTTAGAGGTATACTGTATTATGATCAACAGTTACAATTCTAAAAGAAAACCCTTTTTGGCAACCAAATCCTTTTTCAGAATAAGCTGCAATAATTTTAGATTATTTTTTTTTTTTAAGGCAAAAAGTAATTCCTGATAGTAAGGGCACTAATGATTTTCTCAGACAAATTCTGTACCTGAAACAGGAGCAATCAGTTTGCAAACTAACTTTTTTAAAATCCGGAATCTAACAAACTTTGCTAGATATTTCTAAATATCCTAAATATACTCTGATCCACAATGTGAATCATTACTGCTAAAATAAATAAGGAGAGCAAACAAACATTTTTATTACCTGATTTCCAAAGAGATTGAAACCATTAATTGCTTCTAAAGCTGCTTTTGCCAGTCCCACAGAGCTGAGGAGAAAACAAAACAACAAAAAAAACAGAGGTATCAAAATTCAAGCCTAGATCAAAATTTAGCATGTTTGACAGCTTTCAGAGCTATGATCTTTTCTTTATTTGAATTTTGTGCTTAACCTTTATGTTAATAAAATGATGAAGCAGCAAATTCAGCGTTGTTTGGTGGTATGTTGTTTTGGGTTTTTATTTTTTGAAAAATATTTTTCAGCATTTTTATTTGTCTGCAAATGTTAGAGACCATCTGGAAAAAGCACTTCTGCTCTCACCTTGCTACTAGACATCTGGCATTATGTATTTCAAGGTCTTGCTAATAGTGTATTAACTGAGGATTTACTTCAGCACAATTTTTCAACACAGCTCTCAAGCATTAAACTTTAAGACTGATTTCTGGCTAGCTTTTGATATAGTAAAAGAACTCATCAATCCAGATTCAGAAAAGGAGGATTTTCTGATGTCGACCATATAGTGAAACGTATCTTATTGCTCATGCTCCATGACTAGTACACATCATGAAGAAAATGATGTATGCTAGATACCCAGAAATTCCACCAGCAAGCTTTGAAGTTGGCAATTTCATGTTTAAAGCCATTAAGCACTAGTCCTATCTACTAAAATCACTAATAATAATAATATATGTATGTTATCAATATGATGTATATCAATATAATGATATCTATGGTAATTTTAAAATCAAATGATGTACTAAAATGTAGTTTATTACTGATTATGAAAATTATACAGTACATATAAAAATATACACACAAACACCTTTGCAAGGCCATTTTATGAAAAAAATATTTAGTCTTAGACTTTCCCTGGGAGTATTTTAAAAAAAAAAAAAAGCAGCATTCCCTCTCAATGCACACACATACTTTTGATGATTTTTTTTTAAAGAAAAGCTCAAGATAAGTAAATAGAACTCTACGTCTAGTTGACAGGTTTATATCCAATTTGAATTATGACAGAGGGCAGAGTTTTGAAATACTGTTTTAAAGAACACATAATTATACATAATTATAGGTAGGCCATCTTCACATGTCCATTCAACTACAATAGGGAGCTAAAACATTAACACACACGTAAAATGCTGGATTTTTGCACACTGCAAAACTCCAAAATTCTAGATGTTAAGGTCACAGGGCATCAAAAGTAGAATATTAAATGAGCTAGTTGCCAACAATGCTAGAGTTTTAAAATGCAATATATAATGCTACCACATTTCTGACAGTTCTACTATCAAATACAAGCATTCAAAGCAGGGAAAGGACTTTGCACTGTTTATGAAGTGGTGACATGAAAGTATAGGAACTAGAAATACTACAAAAGTCTAGCTAATAAACCAAACGCCCCTCTTAGGTGATCTGGTAAAACAGATTAAAAGCATCCAGTAAAACAAAGCCTAGTATAATTCTCCCAACTTTATTCATAAAACTAAACTTTTAAATTATGCCTTTGTCTCCAAGGCACTAAAGTGTCTCTGACTAATGCGCCTTTATCTGTCTCTGCTTCAATTCTATATAAATTACTACAGTGATTTATTGACTTCACTGACACCCCATGTGCTATCCCTAAATGACACTCCTGGCTTTGAAACTCCTCCTTTGGAAACAAGTTTCATCTTTCTCCCTAACTGCCCATTCCTTTAGGTAGGAACTCTGCTTTCCAAGTAGATTGCAATCAATTTGAAATATTCTTAGTCAAAAAAAGACAATAAATAAGACAATAGAAAAGGAAGACAGCAGAATAACAGGAAAGTATGATGTGTACCTTGTTATCTTTAAAAGTTATCAAATCTGAAGACGTATAGCAAAAGATTGAAAAAGAAAAAAGCAGAATCAATCAGGCTGACATGACAAAATATTTAGAGCTAAGAAAAGACCGTAAGGGTAAACAAAAGTGACACAACATGGCACGGGGCCATAGATGAACGCTACAGGAAGAAAGCCTCCAACCTTAGCAAGATAAAAATCAGTGGAAAGAAGAACTGAAAGGTTCATCTTTCCATAAAGCACTTCCCTATAAGGGAGAGGGTGTTGTTGATACTGTCTTCAGCTAACAACCGTTTAGATACAGCTACCATGTTTCTTCCAATTTGGCACAATACACAAATTTGGAAAAAAACAAAACCAAACACACACACAAAACAAAAAAAGAGAACAAAAAAGAACTCTCAAACATCTACACTGCTATAGACAGAAGCTTGAAAAGTCTGAAGTTTTAAGAACTGGGAAAATCTGGGAAAAACACAATATACCAATTAATTTAACCGTTTACTTATTAGCACAGTAATTCCTTGAAATACTCTCTTTAAAAAAAAAAAAAAAGGACAAAAAAGGAGTTAAAAGTTTATATCTTTTTTTTTCTCTAAAACTGATTATCCAATAGCCAACCATACTTTTTATTGACATCTTTCCTTTGGGCCAAAAATTATGCAGTACTGCCAAACAAGGCACAAAAAAAAAAAAGTTTGTCAGAGGATCCAGATAACTTGAGAACAATGTTGTCACAGTGACAGTCATGACTGTGAAAAACTAAAGCATCCTTAAGAGTCTGAGGCCTACACCCCACTTGCAGGGAGACAGTAAAATTAACAACAGTTATGAATATGTACTTTCCGACCAAGACAGCCCTAGATATTTTGTTTATAAAGGTAATTAATAAAGCAACACCAAGTTAGAAAAAATATTCAGAAAATAATCACTAACAATCCCCAACTTCTGAGTAAGAGCAGTTGTGATAATATTGACAAGCAACTGCACTTTCCAGCCAAAAAACCTATAGCAACCCGATTGTCAGAAAACTGCATGCAGCATTTTGGAATCAGAGCAAACTTTTTTACCTTACTGTAAATAACCTCTTTTGTACTGTTTATTCATATAAAATTTCTGATGTTTACTAACTAATCCATATTTTAAAGATGGGAGCTGATTATAGTTACACAGAAAATAATGCGGAGTTACAGAACTTGTTTACTTTAAGTACTGTTTTACCTGGGTTTGTTTTAATATTAGAAGTACTTTAGACACTGATTTCAGACTCTATCATTCAACTATTACCAACAGGTTTATAAACCTCCATCCTTCTTTCTGAAACATTGCCAGAAATAGTACTCGTGGGATTGAATTCTAATTGGTTCAACAAGAGAAAGCTGATTAGGTTAACTAAGTTCTGCTCTGAGCAGCTGCCATCAAACACTGGTGAGATCCCTCAGTTTTGGTATCTTCTGCTGATGAAAGCTTTTGGGACTGGCAAATGTGATGAAGGAATAAACTGAACTCAGAAGTGTTGTGAATATAATTATTTTTCTGGCTTTGTTTCAAAGACCTAAACAAAAATGTAATTGTTCTAACAATCACTCTATTTTAATTATCACCTAGCAATTGATCAAACAAATTGGTGTGATGACTCAGAACCGAACTTTTCGTAGGAGTTTAGTATTATTATCAAACTGCATACATAGAAAATGAAAATCAGTGAAATCCCACACACTGCAATCCATATGACACATTAAAATCTCATATTCGTCTTTTTCCTTCCACCTAACACTTCTAATACCAATAGTGAGATATTTTCAGAGAGTGGAAAAAAGTTACTGACAAAAGGTAGAGAAGTAGTAGTTGTTCGACAGCAACAATTCCTGGTATTCAGACAATGTAAAACTACTCGCCCTATCTAAAAAATAGGATGATAGCGCTTGAAAAAAAATTGAAAAAAAAAAAAAAAAAAAGGATTCCTTCCGTGAAATCATTCCTATTTGACATACTCAGTCATTATTCTACAATAAGAGTAATACTTACTTGTAATTGATAAGTATTTTTCCACCTCTAGTTATTCAAAGCCCCTGGAGACTTCAGTACAAATACTACTTGCAAATGAAAATATAAATGTCTCAACATCAAAATACTGCTTTCTTTCCCCCATCACGTAATATTTCTTCACATTACAATGTTATATCAAGCATTCCCTTCACCATACACACAAGCACTACTTAGACTACTAGAAGTTTCATGGATAACTGATGAGAACAAGTTACTCTAAAAAAAATAATAAAAAAATGCTGAGGACAGCTGCAGTATCAAGTATGCCTTCAAAAGACTGAACTGTCACACATCACACCACACTTCAGAACTATGATCACACTTCAGACACTTGTTTCATTCCTACTGATTAATACCTTCCTGTTGGGCAAATTAGAAAAGAAGTTTTATAATAAAAATTATGCTTATGTCTTTCTACAGAAAATACATTCTTCATACTCTACAGTTTAATAATGGAAAAAATATAGACTGTTTAATCAGTATTAATTAACAGCAAAATGTATTTTAATAAATATGTTCCTTCCGCCACTCAACAATCCACTATGAACATACTGAGTTAACCTGCTGGACTCTATTCCCACAGGAAAAGGTGTTTACTTGGAGATGGCCTCCAAAAAAGCCTAACCCAAACCCTCTTTAAATATTCCTCTGCAAATTTCACAGGATCATAAAGTAATCGGTTGAAAAGGACATATGGAACTCATCTAGTCCAACATGAAATCTCACTTGAATCCAGTTATGTTAACCAAGACCAATTCAAGTAAACCACAGCCTCCTCTAGACAAGTCTCCAAAACCTCCAAGGATGGAGATTCCGTAACTTGAGTATCCTGCTCTGGTTCTTCACTGCACTTCAAGGGAAAAAGGTTTCTTCTTCTTAATACTTTCTTCCATACCTAACCATCCCAGGTGGAATCTGTGGACCTTACTGTAGCTGCCAATTATTGTGATTTGTCATGGATTATCAAGAGCAGTCTTGCAATGGTAATTCTATGGGTAACATTTGACCTTGATTCACATTTGGGGCAGGGGAAGCTGAGACTAACCTAGAGAAACTATACTTCCAGCTTGCTAAAAAAGCACTACTAAACTCACTTAAACATCATTCGTAATTCCAAGTAACTTTTAATTGTTAGGTTTACCCTCTCAGTAAAATACCCGAGGGCAAACATGAAAATTTGCGTATTCTTAGCAACTGCTAATCAAAACACACCGTAAAGCATATACATCCTAATCCTCCTCCCATTCACAGTTTCTTGCCTCCATCCAAGCACTGTGCAGTTCAACTGGAACATCAACCACCCCAATGGATATTGAAAACAAAAAACAAACAACAAACCAAAAGCAATCCCACGACAATAATAATTTCATAACTAGACAAAACAACATAGAACAAGAACAGCACTATAGCAATATAATACCTACACTACAAAGAAGAGCAAGATCAAGGCTCTACAGTCATAGATTTGGAATATGCAGATACTGCACTTCTGCGACTCCATTATTCTCACAGTACATATGGGAGATGTCAAAGGCATTTTGCAGAGGTACTGAGCAGATGCCTGGAGAACAGCTTGATCAAATGGTTACAGGACAAATTAATTTTTCAGTTCAGCCATATGAGGAGGGGATTGCACTATAACAAAAGCTGTTACAAATCTTGCCTTTGAACCAATAAAAGGCATCAATTTGCATACATCAATGAAGACCTGGTCCACAGAGTGTTTCGTTATTTATCATTTACTAGAAGTGTTTTGAACTGCACTAAGACAGAATACCAAGACTGTGGAAAGGCTTAACATATCTGCATCTTCTATCACAAGCCATAATTTGCAGTTACTATTCATGGATTTCATACTATATGATACCTTCTTTAAAAAGAAAGCCTCTTTCAAGAAGACAAGAGTAAACTTCTAATTGTCAAAGCAAACACACGTTGTATGTAAACTTACAGTGTGAGTTTTAAGGGCCAGGAGTACAACAAAACTGAAAATTAAGTGACTGGTTTGGAGTCCATAATCCCTGAAGACATATATGTATCAGTCGTGACTAGTCCCGATTAATTATAATCACTTCTTGAATTGTGTTAGGCACATTCCTAACTGTCTCATGGGACAGGGATCAGAATGTCCAGTTACTTACAGCACCTGAAGAACCTGGAAAATAACCTGTGCACTAGGCTATCCTCCACAGTGTTCAGCATCTTCCTCGCAGCACAGTGGAGATGAGAAAAATCTAGACTCGTGATTCAACACCTTCTTAAATCACGATATTCCTAAACATATTTGTGAATCCAAACTGCTGCACATGCCTCAAGAGTCTGAACTGTTCTAAACACAATTTTCAGAATTATATGCATGCAGCTGCACATAATTATTGGAATTTGAATACTCAAATAGCTAAGCATCTATGCGGTTATTTCAGCATGCATATGATGATGAAATTATGCTTCACATTTTCCCAAAATACATCTCTCAATCTTTAGAGAAGCTTAATTTAGTTCAAACAGTATTTTAATGCATTATTATTTTCAAGTCGCCCCATGAATTCTTTTTATTCATATCACATTTACTTGAAAGAGCTACATTCGCTCACCTACCTTGAATGCAGCTCTGGACTACCATTGTTGTATTTACTTCCTCTTTCCCAGACACCAAAATCTGGTACACGATAGGCTCTTTCCACACAAAACACAAGATTTTGAATGAAGGACACCTATAGGAAGGAAAGAAAGGGAAGTGACTGAAGGAAAATGAAAGCATATTTTCTTTTGTTCATTTTTTCAAAAAGACAAAGTTGTTTTTCCTCAGCCATCAAAATTATGCTTTCTGTCCATTTCCCAGCCCCCAGCGAATGACGGTCCCAAGTTCAGATACTCTCTTTAAAAACAGGTTTTTGTCGCAAATTAATCATCCCTGTAATTAAGCATTTGGTTGTATTGAAATGAACTTTCTCTGAATGAAGGTGAACAGCCAGTGATTAAGAGCGTGGCTTCTCCTATCTCTATCATTAACTGAAATTTAAATGCATCAGCTAACTGAAGAAGCAAAGAGCACCAAACAGAAATATGTAACCTTACCAGTGATGATGTTCAGAACACAAGAAAAAAAATGGTCAATTACATATATTTTGTGAGATTAACTAAGGGTTTCCAAATGGCGGATTCACAGAAAAAAGGGCAACAGATAACTGGTTGCAAACCAGAATCTACAGAGAGCAATCATTCATATCACGGGCATGTAAATGCTATAACCAAGTCAATGCTAAAGCATTTACAGAAATTATGGATTGTGTGTGTTAAGCTTATTTATCCAGAAGTCAAGCATGCAGACAGCAAGGTGTAATAAAGAATACACATGCCGCATGGATAACTGCAAACACCAGCGTTACTCTGGTTTATGTGTAGATAACTGCTCTCAAATTCATTCACTTGCACAATCATGTACTGCTCTCTTTGCTATGGATGCAAAGATGCGACAAAATTAATTTTTCAAGTGCAAACAGATGCAACTAGAGAGTGCCATGCCTGACATCAAGCAGCCTAGTATACAATGACTGCCTCCAAAGCCAAGAGTTCTGTGTACAAACATATTCGTGCAGACAGCTTGCCAAATATCAACCATCTGCCAGCACCTTCCAGTGTGCTAGCACTGGTTCAAACCCCTCTCTCTATGAAAGGAAAGAGACTAAATACATCGTGCAATGATATCATCAGAAAGAAATATCCGACTTCATGTCTGGGTAGCAGATTGCCGCATCCACAGTGCTGCCAATGCCACGATGCTGAGTATTATCTAGATATACAAGACAACTTGGAAATACCAGAATTACGTGGCATTGAAAAGATCTGAGAATATATGCAATTGTTGAAGCTATACAGAGACTAACAGAACGTACAGGTCTGTGGTAAAGTAATCTTAGTATAAATCCCTAGTCCACAGATTTCTAGGGTACGGTTGCAATGAAAACTACATCTTGACATTAAAGTGGAGAATATCCACTGACTGCAGAGTCTATACACATGCACTTTTCTGAAGATTCGGTAATTAAATGCAAACATCTGGAGGATAATATAAATTATAAGTCAAGCTAAGTAAACACATAATTATATACATTTGCCTCCTCACAGATATAAAGGCAATTCAGCGAAAATCATATAGACCTATGATCTAAGTGAGAAAGAAGATAAGTTGCATCACTTAATTTTCTCATTATCTAAAGAAAGAACTTTAATGAAGATATACATTTTAGAAATATAATGCAAATATACTATAATGGGAAAAATCTCCCCTTTTAAAAAAATAGTACAACTATAAGTGCATTGAAACTTTTTAAGGCAATACAGCAACAACTATTAAACAGACTAAAGTAAATTTAAACAAATCCAGATTAAGAAAAAAAAAAATCTATGCTTTCCATTCCTGTCTTAAAACATAACCTCATTTTAGAGCAGGACAGCAGGTTGTCCTAACATGACTTGTCCTCGAGTGAAGGCCACGGTGGCTATTATTATCTAATTTAAAGTTAACAATCCTACAAACATCTCTCATCAAATTGTTTTATTTTCAAGTAAAGATACAGCAAAACCTCTTAACACCTATAGGTTCGTATGTATTTGAAGAAAGCCCTTCAGCTTTCCAGAAAATTAACCCTATAATATATTATATTGAAATTCTGCCAGACAGAATGCACTGACTGACAGTTTGAAATAAGGTGAAAAGTGAGAACAACATAACTAGAAGTTAACTGTCCTAACAGACCTTTTAATTCTTGACCTTGTACCTTTGAGAAATAGCAGGGAACTACAAAAGTTTTCAATGTCAAGTTACATTCACTCTTTGCATGTAACACTTTATTAGCTATTAATTTATTTCACTATCCATTCATTCCATTTATCTTTGCTGACTTCCATTAAAAGTGAAGAATATCTGCAGTGTATCTCCAGAACAATTATTTTACAGTTTATAATTAAATAAAACCAAGGAAAAAAAAAAACCAAAACAACTTAATAGAGCACGTGTTTTAACATCAGAAGTTTATTTGTACCTCATCTGTGTTGTAGATAATCTGCAGCCCCGAAGAGATCATCTCAACCAAATAGAGGAGAAATAACGACACAGCATTTATCTGAAGTAATTAAAGACAGAAAGGAAACTATAATTAATTTTACGTTTATTGGAGTCACATAAACAAACAAGCTAAATGTGATATTACTAACAAAGATGGTGCTACTATACCACAGTTTTGGTTCTTCAAAAATATCCTAATCTACCAATATCCTAGATGTAATGATGTAGAAAAAATCAATAGGAAGAAATGTCACAAGCACGCATTGTCCTCTACAACTTCTGCTGTAGTATCATTTTTTTTAATTACCTGAAACCATGATATTAACATGCTTTTGCCTAGGCAAAGAGGCTTAGCTAATGAGTGAAGTTACTGAACAGAAAATTGGCTCTGTTTTACCTCAAACCAGGACGTGCTTTGACCCACAGGCAATCACTTTAGTCACAAGCTGTTTCATGTTTACTTCTATGACAATTTATTAGCAAGTAGAGCCCCAAGAAGGCAAATAGCATATTGAATAATACACAGCGCATCTAAAAAGCAAACCGCTCTATCCCTCACTATAATTTTAGCATTATCAACTGACAGAAGTGTAATTCAGATATGATAATATTTGGGAAAAACTGTTTTCCTTTGTAGCTGTACATAGCATTTATATTAACAGTAATTACCTTCAGCAGCTGTACAGATGAGCATCATAAAGTCAATTTATCAATGAATCAAAGAAAACTGCTTTTGTTACACAGAATTCTATTATAATTAAGAATTTGTACAACTTCAATAGAGAAAGTAAGTTTATCACAATAACTTGCTTCAATGAGCTATAAATCCACAATGCCAGTATATGAAATTTAGAGAAACCATCTAGAACAAAAAAATTGGATTCTTGTCTGAAACATAGCCGATTAAGAATAAGGTCCAAATTCTAAAAATTCCAAAAGACTTACAGACCACTGACTCCAGTTTCTTAACACAGTCTGAAAAGCACCAAGTAATTATCAACTTACTGTTACTTCTGAATAATTTCACTAAATTTCTGAACTAAAAAGAGTAGACAGAGTTATGGAATGCAAATAAAACAAGGTCATGAATGCAAAAAAGGGTCTGAAGGCAAAGAGAAGGGAAAAAAAAGAGTAAATCAATACTTTGGAAAATGAAAGATAGTAAAACAATCCATTTTGCAATGAATCTGACTAGAAGCCACTACACAAAACAGCGAACAACGATTTGTCACTAGACAAAGCTGTTGACAGTGTACATTAAATCTTTATTATGAATGAAAATTGCTCAGACTTATGGAAAATTAAGCTGGGAACGTCAGCAAAAAATATAATATTCAATGTAAGCTTCCACTAAATCTTTCACTTTACTGACTACTTCAACATTTTTTTTTGCCAGGATTATTTATTGGCCAACAGATTGGTCTCAAAAAGAAGCAACTTCATAAACAACCAACCATCTACCTCTACAAATCCCAGTTATTTCAGTACCTTCTGACCAAAACATACTACTGAATTATATTTCAAAACAGTCTTTTTCATCAAAAGAAGCAGAAGGAATCTCAATTTTATCAAGTACAACACCTCTAACAAATCTAAATGAACTGAGACAGCTGCATCATGAAAGACTGGAGACAACAATAATGTTATTTAAAATCATCCAATCTTTCCTTTACATATACACACATATTTTACCTGAAGGTGACCATATTCCTTATGGGAGAAGACCTCATCTCCAGTGTGTGCACTGAAAACAGAATGAAGACATGCAGATGGTTTGGGGTCTTGCTTAAATTGCTGAACCTAAAGGTGAATTAAAGGTAAAACATAAAATCAAAGTCAGTAATTTCAGTACGTTTGGCAACCACAAATTCACTATATAACTCAGGTATTTCAAAATTTCTCGGTATGACCACTATGTAAAACTTATAAACAACAGCTTCTGAAACTTATCAGAAACTATTTCATACACCCTTAAAGTATACATATACTTAAAGAATACAAGTTTTCAACCCATCTATCTAATCTCTTTGGATTTGGTAGAAGAAAAAATTTGTAATAGATAGCTACAGATGCTTAGTCACTTTCATCTTCTGGAGAAATGCCACCTGATTTTACCAGAGCTGAAATCTTAGCAGAAAGCAGGTGGAAGCATATCACGCCTACCCTAATTCACAGATCTGAAATGTTCATATAGAATCCTGACCCATAAGCTCTTGGCTGGCTCGCCACCTTTCCCTAGCAGAGTACCATGAACTAAGTCCAGCTAGTCTCTCACATATGGGGCAATTCCCCTCCTCACCCTCCTGGCACGTCCTAAAGAGCCTGTATCCACCCATCCATGTTCCACTCACTTGAGCTATCCTACCGCATCACTGTGATCCCATGAGATCATAGCCCTGGAACTACAATCATACTTCTAATTCCTCCTTTTTGCTCCCCATGCTGCATGCATTATCTCTGGGCATGTCTGAGAAGCACCCAAGCATGCTGACTTCCCAGAAAGGGTATGAGAACTTTCTTCTCAATAATGCTGTCCCGTAGAAACCTCCTTATTTCTGCACATACACTTGGGACAATTCCACTTCAGTTAATGCTATGTGCCGTCTGTTCACATCACCCCAGGCCCTTTGCTTGCCTACCCCATCCACCACTTCCTCACCTGATTGTTGAGCACTCTCTCTCCCCCTCACCATTCCTAGTTTAAAGCTCTTACTGAAGTTCAAGCGCCCAAAACTTATGTTGGGAACAATAGCTTTAATAATTTTTATGAATCATGATCCATAAAATTTAATAATTATTGTTGTACCATTTGACAATGTGGCAAAGGTTTTAAAACAGAAAATAAATTATTATTGTTATTCATATTTTTTACGCCTTTTGGGTTATAGATCTACAAAAGCATTCAGAAATTGCCTCACGGAAATCATGGAACAAAAAAAAAGCTGCAAGAGCTAAGAATATCTAGTATAAAAGAGTACATGGGAAAACAAAGATTTATTTTGGTGAGCACAGTTTGTGACATTCGGATGTACAGTGAAATGTTTACAGGTACTAGAAGGCAAAGCTTAAAATGAAAACATAGAGATCATACACAGGAAGAATAGTACCCCAGATTAAAATGACTTCTTATTCATGGATGCTACCATTGGACCTCAGAATGAGCCTCTATGATACAGAATCTCTTACAATGGAGATGGAATGCAGTAAGGTGAATTACTAACACAACAGGGTAATGACAAAGGTGTGAAATAAGAACTACGGTGGTTTTAAAGTACTTTTGATTCTGTTTTTGTTGCAAAATACCATGTCTGCTACCTTACAAAATCATTTGAGAAAACAACTGGACTGTCAGAGCGTTGGCAATAGGGCAGAGAAAGGAAATCAAATTCACAGATAAAAGAAGGAAGGTAACAAAAGAACCTTTTCCATTAATTCCTCAAGTCATGCTATGCTCTCCAACAAACAGTTTTCAAATTTTCTAACCATCGTAGCCAGTACCTGGTCCACATTTCCCAACATTTTCAATACCGATCTTCCCTTCATGGGATATTCTTCACTACCAACAAATCACATATAGCATATAGCATGTGCCCCAGAACCAAGAAAGTGAATACTATTTCATGGAGTTATCATGTCTAGTCCATGAAGACATTCAATACATTTTAGGTCGTAACTCCTATGTTCATTAGCAATACAATATAACAACTGTCATTTTTGTCACAAGCAGCAGCATCTATTCAAGTCATGCCTTGGGCATATATAATTCATATTTAGGCCAGCACATACAGAACGTCTCAGAATAAAGTCCAGTTTGACTTATGTCTGTCAGGTACCAGAGACTGTTTATTACTACTCTGTAGGAAGAGAGAAGCATTTATTGTAATCAAGGCAAAAACAGACAACCAGTATGTCAGCAGTATGACACCTGTGTTAATTTAATGCTCATTATTCCTATCTGCACTCATCATCCTCAAAACAAACCACTGCACGTCAAAGAGAAAAAAAACCAGCTCAAATGTAACAAGATCAATTTCGGTCAAGATTATTTAAAGATATGAGACTACAAAGAAACAGACTAAGCAAACTGAGAAAAAAATATCATGTCAGCATAAATATGACTGGCAATACAGCTGGCTTACTTATTATTATTACTGATGTCACATGCCTACGGACTTTACATTTCAGTTTCTGTGCTTAGAAGTGATGGAAGCCATGGCAACATGAAAATTATTTTTAATAATACAGTTAAAAGTCAGTGACATGAAACTTAAAATAATCACATGGAATTTAAATATTTAACTACCTGTAGAATTACTGCTAACCACTATGCAAAATTAATCCACCACATCTAAATGTTGGTAAGGAGAAATCCTGAATATTCAAGAATATTCCAGGTATACTCACAAGAGGATTACAGGCTGAATAAATCAATCATATTATAACATAAGTAAAATACTCTCTTTCCTTATTCATTTTGGGTTGCTGCCCTTCTGAAGTTACATCATTAGGTCCAAGAATACTGGAAAGTGGCTGCTAAAGAACCCAAGCAAAATAATCAAGACGATCACCTAGGTAAGGAGAACAACTGCAAATGCAATAACCAAGTTAATAGTGCAAAGAAAACTCTCCAGCCTTAGCTAAAAGAAATTCCACATCTTTCCATTTAAGCACTAAAATGACATAAAACCCCGATTACTAACGGTCTAATGTTTAAACGGGATAAATAACCGCGAAAGGAACCCAAAGAAGTGTCAAGTATACCCTGCCGCTTACTTTGCAAAATGCTCGTGCCTTCTATGCCCTAAACCAATGCTGACAATAATGAAGCAGCTGTTCTTAGCTGGGTCGGCCACACAGTAATACTGCATTTCCCTTTTGAATTTTATCTATATTTAGAAGTCAGTTTTCACAGTTTAATTAATCCCTTAGAATTAAGTGAGTGCTTGTGTCCACACTACAGTGTTTTACCTTATCGGCCTGACGCATGTAGCAGTAGAGAATTCCTCTCATACACTTTATAGCAGAATGCTCCAATTCATGAGTCCTTCCCTTGTCATCATCAATACGCCTGGGTAAGAGAGATAACTCATAAAACAAATTGGAAATGCATTAGGGGGGAAAGAGCGAAAAAGGACACATTAGCGCTTTGGAATATTAAGTATTTAACTAACACTGTTGTACAGTGGTACCTACACTCAGATCAACATATTTGTAGTCGTCCCTATCCTTCCTTAATAAAAAAAATAAATACATTGTTCAGTTTGTTGCAACTTACACAAACATTCCCATTTCAAAATTTAAAAAGAAAAAAGGTAATCCTTGCTGATATTCTAACATTGCAAGCCACTGTTCTGTGTTCCTCGAGAGATCCAATACACAAAGTCAATTTCTCTTTAACTCTAAAAAACATCTGCCGTTCATAATCAAGCAGTCACTCTCTTGACGATGCTGATAAACCACAGCTGTGCATACAACAGTCTGAAAGTTCACTACTCCAAATGTCCAGGAATGTGTTTCAAGATGCATAAGTATTTTTATACCGTGAAATCAAATAACACTCACAATTACTATATTACTAAATGTGTATTAAAAACAATGCCAAATCCCAAGTTATTTTAACTATAAGAAATGTATTCTGTGTAAACAACCTTGATCATTGCATTCATGCATTGTCTTTTCCAGTTCTCAGTTTTTGATTGAGCCTTTCAGGGTGAAAATAATGTTTTCTTACATAGTTGTAACTTACAACAACATGTCTCTGATATAAATATGCAAAACAGCATAATATGCTCACTACTATTTCTCAGTCCACTTTATAGCTGTTACTAATTTGATTAAAGGTAAGTAGACAACTACACTGCAAACAAAACATATCCTTCTGCACAATACTTAACATGTCAGTAGTTTCTGCTGAGGTTCTGCTACCTACACGGAAAATTAGGAAGGCGGTGATAATTTCAAAAACTATACACATTCAGAAATCATGCTATTCAAATAATAATCTTAGGTACAAGAAATATACTTGCTTTCAATTACAAAGTTGAAACAAGGGGGGGAAAGCAACCCCACAAGGAATAAAACCAGATCATGCAAAATAATTAGGTTAAGAATTTTTAAGCAGCAGGATTTATCCTCAACATAATCATAAATCCAAAGAGCAGTAAGAACCACACGTAAAAGCTCTGAAGTTTTCATGTTAAAACATTTTTGTCTCTATTCACAACAACAGTGTTTGTTTTCTTAACATGTTCTCAAGAAATTTAGCTTTTATGAAAGTGAACAGTAGCACTGGTGTGAGTCAAAGACAGTAATCTGCATGTGGTAGATATGGAGCCTTCCATACATCTTGTATCTTGGCTCATTTCAGATTTTAGTCATTCACTTAATTTCAGTCATTAACCTTTCCCCATCAAAGAAAATTTGTTGTGCAGCACCTGGAGTTCAGGGCCCTGTTCTGAACATAACTAGAAATAACACAAACTATTTGTCTTGCCACTTTGACCTTCCTTCAACCTGCAACAAATTTCATGTATCATCTTCTACGATTCTACATACTGGAAATTAAAGACTGAATAACTCAGGCAATATCATGCCACTCTCTTCTATGAGTTGCTGAAAATTCAAAACAATCACTCCCACCCCTTCCATTCTTCCTTCTAAATTTTTTTTCTATTTTTTTTTTGTTTTCAAATGCTTTTATTTCACCAACAGAAAGAATTAAAAGAAAGATGCAAATATTTCAATATAAGAAATGAAAGTAATAATTACGCATTCTGAATGTTAATTTCCTTATAATTTTTGCTAGTTTCTCAAAATTTTGAAACCCGTTAGATCTCAGGCATAACATCTCCAGAAGTAAACACTCTGCAAAAGAAGTAAAATCTCTGTACGTTTTCACTTTCAAAAAGCATCATTTTGTAACACTTCACAGAAGACAATTTTATTAATGTTTTGTTCAGATTGGTGTCAGAAGTATAGACTCTGAAGCAATAAATAGAGCCAAAAAAGAAACTCAAAACTTTTTATCTAAGTAGATCATCTTTACTTCAACAGTAGCTCCTCATATTATTTCTGGCCCTTCTTCTGTAAGAAATACCAGAATTTTGTCCAAGAATGTGATTGCTACCTCAATACAAGAAGTCGATTACTAAAAAGAGTAAATTATTCAATATCTGCACACCATCTTCCTTCTTAAAAACACTACATTTGGGTTGTCACCACCTCTGTCTGTGCTTTCCTGGGTGTCTGGGGTAGCAATGTTGGAAACAAGGAATACTAAATCTTAAAAAGCAATTTCCATAGTCATTTGACCTAAAGGAGAGGAAATTATGAATAAATTCATATGGGAGGTAACTCTCCTATAGTTCTTAAGGTCATACTACAGCACACAAATTCCTAACCTACTTCTGTAATGAGTCAACAGTGGAAACGGAAGAAAAAGAAAATAAGAGCCAACAACTGAGACTGCCCAGCCACTGTACCTAGCAAGGATGATAGTCACCGTTATTTCCCAAATAAACATTTCCCAGCATTCAAGGATTCAGGCTCCTGCGTGTACCTGGATTGTTACTACCCGCAACAAGTCTGCTTCTGCTCTGAACTCTCCTACTGCACTTAAAATGAGCAGTATTTCCTGAGTACAGTTTGCAACAATAACCTATATTTTCAATAACACGCATTTATTCCTCTGTTTCAGAATATTGATATGAATTAAATTATGCAAAAACATGTTCACTTACCAAAGCAGAATGACATTTTTTAACACAGAAGCTACATAAATATTTTAATTTGGAAACATGTACCAACTCTATGGGTTTACAAAACTATTTTTGATAAAGCTTCATCTTTTAAAACATTCCCGAGGAGCTGTATAACAGAAAGAATGTAACACGTCAGAGACATGAGTTTAGAAGTTATTCACCTGTAAGCGAGGGCTAATGCCCAGGCACATGCAGCACAGTAAAGACTGTCATGTACTTTTGCCTTTCGGTTATCACCGTATGTCTTTGTAGGAAATAGGCCTGTCGTTGGGCTTTGATGAAGCAACAATGTTGACTTAACTGCAAAAGGCAAAAAAGAAAAAATGGAATTAACAACATGTTTCTTCCAGGTTCTACACAGATGTTCAGGAATAAATCAAGAGATGAACAACCTGTTAGAGTATGCACAACATAAAACAGAATAAAAAGAAAGGTAAGGAGAAGGACACACAAAAAATATTTTGTCACTTTGTTTTTTCAGTCAAATTAGACCTTTTTACAAAAAAATCAGTATTCAACACTATATGCTCTGTTCTTGTACAACCCACTTTGTACAGAATCTCTACAATGCAACCCAGTAATTTCCCTTTCATGAAAAAAAAAAGTGGGGGCTATAGTATGTCAACTGCCTCCGCCCCAGTAATTTAAATAAACTCTGCAGAACTCTACGCTCATAAAAATTATTTAACTTAGGCCAGATGATTGTATCAATATATTTAAAAAAGGAACAAGTAAGTAAAGGACGACCACAATCATTTAACTCAGTACCTTGACATAAAAATAGAACAAGACAGGAGTTTTCAAGTTATCAAAACAATTAGAAGAAATAAAAAAATATTACTTTCATTCTTTTTGTACTTTAATATTTTGCATTTGGGAAATTGTTTTCCTAAAATTGTGTAACAACCAGCAAGCTACAGGATTGAAACCAGGCTTAATGTCCTTGAACGTGACCATTCTAACAATAACCCGTCTGTTATAAGACAAGAAAGTAGGGGTTTTTTTCCAGAATTTTATCAAGGATCAATTTTTAAAAAGCCTTTTGATTGTCTATGTATTAGAAATTAATTATTTTAAATTAAAATTACAGGGGTTTATGGCTTTTTGCATGATCCTCCTTCAGTGACTTAGTATCTTGTAACAAGAACTTTGATAAAATGTTACCTGAAAAAGTCAATATAAATTATTCTAAAATGAAGTATATATTCAATAGTAAATTTTTACTGAAGCAGACACTCGCAACATAAGTGCCCAGCAGATAAACAGCAAGTACCACCACAGATTTGGTGCTGTCAAGCATTAAAAGTAAGTTGAACACTCATCTCCTCCGTAAGAAAGATAAAAGCAATGCATCTACAAAGAGCAAGGCGTCTGTGGGTAGACAAAGCACAACTCAGACTTCACTTCAAAAACCTATTTGAATGAAGGGGGTCTCACCCCACATTTTCAGAATAACGGAAAAATTGTTCACTATTCTATACCTTTGTCTGACTAAAACTTAAATTTCAAATAGTCAATTGCACAGCCATTAAGAAAAACCCTGATTTTAGAATACAGGCAGGATTTCATTATAACACAAACCCCCCAGCACTCAAAACCATCAAAATAAACCACTGCTTCTTTAATGTGTATGTTTTTGGCTTAAAATGATCCCATAATAAAAAGAAAAATAGGAAAATTGGCTTAAAATAAGTTACCTACCAGATAAAATCTTGGCACAAAAATATATTATGGCATCATTAGTAACAAAAATTAACTTCTCACTTGTCCTGCTTTCAGCTGAGACAGACTTAATTTTTTTCCTAGTGATTGCCGTCTTTCAGATTTGGTATGAAAGGCATGTCAATAATCCATATTGTTTTAGTTGTTGCTAAGTGATGTTTATACTAGGCAAGGACTTTTTTCAGCTTCCCATGGAAGCTGAGAAGGAACACAGACAGAACAATGGAATATTCCATTACACAGACATCATGCTCCATATATAAATGGGGGTTGGCCGGGGGCTCTGCGGAGTCAGGGTGGGCAACCAATTCACCGGGCATTGAGAGTGGCTTGTCTTTTACCATTATTATTGTTATTTTCCTCTTCCCTTACTGTTCTATTAAACTGTCTTTATCTCAACCCACAAGTTTTTTTTCCCTTTCCCCTCCTTTTCTCCCTCTTCTCCCTACCCTTCTGGGGGAGGGAAGGGGGCAGCCAAGTGAGAGGCTTTGTGGTCCTAGTTGCTGGCTGGGGTTAAACCACGACATCACTGATCACCTGTAAAACTGTTTTAGGTACCGCAAGAAAGCTTTTCTCCATTTAAGTGTTTCCTCAGCTGTATCTGGCTAATGCCACAATACCAGGCTAACACTTTATCCAAAATAATTCTAAATTCAGTCTTACAGTTCGACTGTATTTCCAATGTGCATTTTCACTTTCAGGAGGAAATGTAATTCAACCCTCAAGTTTTTGCACCTTTCAAACAGAAATTTAAGAAACCATTGTCAAGTGGGAATAATGTAGCAATGATATTTAACATGTAAATATCAATTCCAATTTATATGTGGGTTAGCTCAAGCGTCAAAAACTGTCAGCAGATTACCTTTACCCCTCCCCATCCCAGACCATCAGGTGCAACTCCGAATGTGTTCTACAGTTTGACAAATATAGATGACAATTTTTAAGACTATTTGCAGGTCATGATATTTCAAGCAACGTATGAAGTATCCAAACGTTTTATATTCTCACAAGAATCTTATGGGGAGTTGTAATTACTGAACCATTTACCTCTCAGAAAATAAAAATCCTTATAAAGACTGCAGATATTATTTTAAGACAAAGCTAATTACTGTCATAACCATAACTGTAAATATTTTAGTAAGTTACACTGAAAATCTTTCATGGTAGGAACAATTATTAACTTACCAATTCTGTAATAATGATCTAGTTTATCCCACAGACTTCCCCCCTCTGGTTTTGGAAGGTTAATACTTTTAAGTGGCTCATAAATTGAACCTAGAAAAAAAGAAGAGAAAAAACAAAATAAAGATCAGAATTAGTTTCATAATTCTGCTATTGCTACAAATTACTGCAATATGATTTTTTTTCATGTTTGTTATATAAAAGCACAATTTATTGAATTTCAACTCAAACAAAAAGAATTGTAATTTCTGTAGTCTCAGAGAATAGATTTCTACATGCATTTTTTCTGATGGTATCTGTCCACACACACAAGACCTCCATCTGGATCTCCAGTGCCTTCTAGATATTCAGCTACAGCCAATGCTACATGACTTTATAGTTTAATTATTGAAGATCGCCTATTATGTGTTAAGAATTTTCTAGGAATATTTTCTTAGAAGTATGCTACAGACAGATATGTAGAAAAACAAAAGGAAGAGGGACAAAAGTAGCCCAAATTTAACTAGTCCTTTCCTACTTGCCTTCTAAAACGGTGACCATGTACAACACTATCGGTGTTTTCCCTATCCTAACCTCGTTTTCACCCACCACCTCAATAAGCCGAGCTGATTTCATGTCTTGAATCAAAAAAAGGGTTAGCTTGTTCTCCCCTACTACCAAGGCTTAAACAACCTATCCAACAGACACAGCCCATATATTCCAGAGAAATACAATGCTATCAAATCCACATCCTTCCATCCCAGTGTCCCACATATTGACTGCTTCCCTATTTGCACCTGAAAAGTCCATTTTCCTAATAGCTGACATGAGCTACCTATCAGAAAGACAAGATTTCTTAAAAATTACTGGGGTAAACCATTTCCAACTTCTAATTTAAGAGTAACATACTGCTTTCCTTTCACAAATCACTTTGGCTTTATTCAGCATTCTGGATGGCAAGAGCTCCCACAGAGCCTTTCGGTAACAGGAAGAATGAGTATTTCCCCTTTCCGGACTGCATGCTGTTCTGAAAAGCTCGGAGAACTGAACTGCCAGGGAAGCCCAGCCAGCCAAGCAGTTCTGGCACGATGCAGCAGAGTGCTCTTACGCAACTTGCCTCTTTCACACTCCCAGCACATATCCAGGCACTAGACAGGAGATTGTCTACATACAGGACTCTCATCCAAATGAAATGAATGTGTGTGGGATGGTGACCACGGCTTTAATAATCAAGTCCTGTGGTGGGGAGACTGGAAAACATTTCTTGTCCCTCAAGATTAGCCCCAAATTAGCATTACTTTTGCTTTGCAGTCATAGTAGTTGAAAAAAAAAAAAAATAAAAAAATCCACCCCTCTTGAGCAGACTCTGGTGGGTCTATTGAGCATGGATTCTCTGGAGAGGTCGACCACCACCTCTGAGCTTCTCCTAGAGCCCTTCCTTTCCGCCTTGGGAGAGGTTAAGCTACAAACAACACGTGCATACGGGAAAAGGGCCTGAGAGGGAAGCACAGAGACTCCAATTTATTTTAGTTGCCTAAAAAGACAGAGCTAAAAGAAATGAAGTTGTTCTGTAATGGAAAAAGAAAAACTTGTAATATACCACACCGAATGCATCTTCTTTTTAAAAATCAACATTCCGAACCCAATTTAAATCAATTTTTCAAAGCAATTTTATTTTTCTGCTTCTTTTTGCCTAGGAATTCCCGTCCATTAGAAAATACATAATTTATATTGTTATATTCAGTTATCTTGCAAAAGCACACAATACAGTGACCTGCAATAATTGCAGTTTTATAAGGTGATTCAGGGAAAGTAGAACAGAATATGCATAGGAAAAATTCTTTAGTAAGTCACTTATTGCATAAAAAGTAGCAAATTTATGACAAATAGTTACTTACTAGATTTTTGAAGACAAAATAAAGATTCTTACTCTTAAATTTGTTAACTGTATAACACACACATCGTACAGTCCTTTGTGTGTGAAAAAGGTTCAGAATGTCTTTTTCTTGCAGACTGTTAACCCCAGCACTGCACCATGGAAAACAGTTGAGTATTCACAGGCACACACTTATATGCACAAGTCAAAGTTTCTAAAATAAAATTGTTCTAATTTACATACTTACCAGACAATCTGTGACCCTCTGTGGCCAACAGAGAAACAAAATAAAGTTATCGTGAACATTCTTCTATTTCAGAGCATTCAAAGATTTCAACTTTGTGCAGAAAGATGACTGAACAGAATAAACAGCGTGAAAATGTCAAAGCACCACCATCTACAAATGATATTCTTTTAGATGTTTGAAACTTTTCTAGCAGAAATAAATTAAAACAGCCATAGTCGACTGTTGATGAAAGAAAAAGGTGAAATGAATTCAAAGTTTACGAAAACTGTCAAAATGTAAAGTTTTATGCCTTGAAAGTATTCCTTAAAAGTAGTCCTACTACAAGCAGGAGAACTTGTTTAAAAGAACACTTAAAAATCAAAGTTTTCCACATACTCTTCATTAATTCCTTATTAGCATCTATATAGTTTAGGTTTTGCTTGGGTGTCTACAACATTCTCCTGGACAAATCCTGTGGTAAGTTATGTTTCATTAGTATCACAATCTAATGAAAACCAAGGAACAGATAGGACAAACATGAAGCTAGCTGCTCCTTCCGTGCGGTTTTGTAGCGATATCATAACCCAGTGGAAGCTATTTTTAGGATAGCTAAAAAAAGCCCATCTCTACTCTTCTCCAAAATCTATTTGATAGTTCATTTCAGCAAGACAAAAACCTGCCATAGAAAGCTAGTTTCAATTACATATTTAAATTAGGTTTCAAAACTGAAAAAAATGACAGCAGCAAGACTCTGCAACACTTAAACATAAAAGAATGACATACGCAAATAGTGCCCTTGAGTTCTCAGTTTGTATGTTAGCATTCAGAACACACAGAATGAGGACATTAACTCCAAATAATATTTTTCATAAATATTGCGTTTCATTGTAATCATACAGTGTGAGTTTTATTTTAGGAAAATAAATAGATATGCCAGGAAGGAATATAAAAAAATTGTTGATTTAATATTTCTTCAGCTGTATACCGGTATAACAACCCTATACAAAATTTAAGTAGTGTACATGGTAGTTCAGATTTTCTTCCACAAAGAACGAAGTATGCCCATTATTTCCTTACATCAGAAGTTGATTGCTTCGAGTCAGTAACTACTTCAAAAACACTAAATAAACAAACAGTCAGGAAATCGAAGTATTGCTTCCTGCATTAATAGATTTAATATCTGATAAGAGAAAACTCAAAACCCTTATCTCAGCTCAAATTAAATCCCTGTTTGTCTTTAGATACGGCACTGACTACACTATATCCATATTTTGAAGCAAAAATTAATCCTTTTTCATTTCCTACCACTTATAGGTTCCAGAGTAACACGATTTCACCATTCTTCAAGTTGAAGAACTATTAAGGACGACAGTAATTTCCTTTCAAAGTGTTAGAGAACAGGAAGAAATCTGAAACAGCCCAATAACTGATAACAGAGATATCAATTACTAGTGTAGAGCTGCAGTAACAAACAGACAAGCTATTTCTGACTTAGCTAAGATACAGAAACTATAAGAAAACATTATCCAGCAGATGAAACTCAAATGAACAACAATTCCAGGAAAAAATTACAATTTAATTAGCTCTTCTAAGCAGAACACAAAACTGAAGGAAATTAAGGGCAGTTCTCTGAGGTAAGCTATTAGCAGTGTAAATACTCATGTATATACAACCTCTGGAGGCTGAGAATATTATGTCATCCTGATGTTAAAGTACTTTCCCATCCACTTCATTTTTATTCCTATACTTGAGATTAGCATTAATTGCTCTTCAGGGAAGAGCTATAAACTGTCTAGATGTTTAGATTTAAAAGCTATGGCCAACATTTTGAAACCCTGCTCCCAAATCCGAATATACAGAAGCTTTGAACACACACACACACACACACACACACATCCTTGAAGATAGCAGCAATTGCAGATATTAAAGAAGAACAGGCATCAGAATGGAATTCTGGACCCAGTATATGGATAAAGATTTGCATCTTTCAACAAGGATGCATTATTCAAATTTTTCAAGGTACAGAATTATAAAAAAAACCAACAACAAACAACCAAACATACCCTCCTGAACTTTAATCACAAACAAATGGAAGCAACATGGCAAGAATGTTATTTCCAACATTTCACATGCCAGAAAAATAAAAGAAAATGTTTACTTGCATAATTAAATCAGCACAGACCAAAAAATAAAAAAAAAGAAAAAAAGAAAAAAAGCTGTGAATACCAGATTCCTTTCCAGTTTTGATGAGAATAAAAACTGATCACAGTCCTTTAATGCAACAGTAGTTCTGGATGTAATTCAACACTTGAGACATGAACAGGTTCTGGATCTCAGATCACAGTAACTTTCATTACCCAGTATTAGTAGGGGCAATAACATCTTCATGTTACAGAAGTGGTTGGGACCAAAGAGGATTTTATTTCTTCACACAGCAAAGTTTAAGAAATGATACCATATGAACAAATCACATCCTCCCAACATCAGATTTCCTTTCCCTTGAGACTTTTCCTGCAATCTCTCCTGAGCTCAGACTTAATACAGTACTGGAGAGAAACACTGTTGGATACAATACAGTTTATTCTAATAGTTGTCTGCCATGAAATACATCTGCTTTTAAGTCCAAGCCCATGTAGTTGAGCAAGGTCATCTCAGAAAATTATTTTCAAAAACACTTCCACTAGCAGGAGAATTAACTTCTCATATACGTAAGTACCTGAACTTTTATTCCATGAACTTAAGATGTACCACCTGTGCTGCTGATGATAGGGATTTTTGATCACTGCATACAGGAGGAAACTGGTAATAGCTGACCCTGCTTTGAACAAGAGGCTGGAGTACATGACCTCCTAACATCCCTTCCAAACTGAACTGTTCTACAATTCAATGAAAACATGGTAAGGAAAGCCCAGGAGAGGGGTGGGGGAGCAAGAAGAAAAAGGTATTAAGGTATTTCTCTATCTGAATAAACATTAGGAGCAAACACAAGGTACAAAGTGTTACCTAGCTTGAGTGATGATAACAACACAGATAAAAATAAGCAAAATCTTGTAATAGTTCATTTAAATAGTTTTAAAGTGACAAAACTTTTCAACTATCATTTATCAAAAAACCCACATGTATTAGACTGTACATCTAGTTCGATTAGAATTTCATGGAAAAAGAAAAAATACGTATCATTTTATTTTGTCCTTTCTCTACTTCTCTCTACAGTACATTATAGTTAACAGAAATGACTGATTTCGGGATTTACAGTAACTACTAACACACAGAAGTTACTGAACACAAGAAATAAACATTGACCGTCATCCCAGTACACAGGAGATTCACATAACCAAAACACACCAAAATAGCAAAGTCTACCACACAAGCCTTGCCAATGTTGTAAGCAAGACAGGAAACCATGCAGGATATTCAAGGCAGTCATTGCCATTTCTGAGAACTCAAAACAATACAAAACTCCTAAAACTACTAAAAACGTTCATTTTGCATCATAACAACAGAAACATCATGTATCAATGTAACAATTAGGGAAGAGTAATTTTTTTTATTACGGTGTCAACACTTCACATGTCCTTTGACATTAAGAGAGGCAAAACAGAAATGCCACAGGCAGGGCAGGATCATTCAAGTGACTCAGTAGTGGCGAGAGAGAGCCGAAATCCTCTTACCAGTAACACTCACTAGCACTGCTTTTGACTTTCAGCACAGACTAAACAAGAGTCCTACACAGCTCTCCCCAGATCAGCTAGCTTCTTCACATATGGACACATTTGTTCCAGTCAAACTCTTCAAAATATATTGAGCTAAAACAGTAATGGTCTTGACAACTTCACCTATTCTAGCTTCTAAAGAGAATCTGTGCCAGGGGGCTTTATTTTGCTCCCACTTAATTTTCAAAAGTCAAGCTCTGAAACAACGACTTATTGGAAATTTTACTTCTTTTCTCTAAATCAGTCACATTGGGATTTTTTAGGAGTTAAATCTAAACGCAATTCTCAATGGAGCTTTCACATGAACATCATCTTAAAAGAGAAATTTCAGTTCAGAAATTGTTACACTGAGAGATACTTACAAGAACACAAAACAAAATAGGAAGATTTGAACAGTAGATTTCAATCTAAGTCGATTCCAATTTTCAGAAATTTTCACTGAAAGAGCTCAAACTTTTAAATTCTACTGTACAGTGCTAAAAAAAACGCTAGCACAAAACACTGGATGAAAAACAAAACACACAATTACTCTTTGTTGAGTTAAATACCCACAAACAAAAACAAAACACAGAACTGCACACTTACCAAATTTTAAAAAAGCATGCGCAGAGGAGGTTCTGTCATCATCCAAATTGGCCATTTCAAATTGGTGCAGCTAATCACAAACGTCTCAGGCTAAGCTACAGCAATTTTCAAAACTGTTTAGTAAATGTTAAAGGCAACCAGCATTAAATTAAGTGAAAGCAATGTTAGTGGAGTTATTAACATGACAGTGTGTGCAGCACAAAGGGTAGCGAAGGTTCATTACATTTTATGTTTGCCTCTTCTACCCTAAAAATTGGTTTTATTTTGCTTTTACTTCCATAAAGCTTATCTGAGTAAAATCACAGAATCTATACAAAGTCCATCTTTTGGACATTACACAGTAGCTTTGTTATTCAATAGGAAATTTGCTACTAACATCAAAACGCGCTGAATAAGATCTATTTAATATATTTCAAGATTAAATAAAAATACTGATTTAACTAGTGCGTATAAAAAAGTGTTAAGTAATTGTAAGCACGGATAGCTAAAATTCTGCTTATGCATAGTGTTGCTTTTATCCCATGTGGAATTCACACTAGGATGTTTCTTGCAGTCATATATATTGCTTATGGTACTGAATATCTCAATTATTTGAAGAAGAACTTCTTCCAGTTTGGAATGCAAAAAAAGGAAATACCGTTTGTAACTATGATGACCATTTTTTCCAAATTTTAAAGAAGTTTATGTTTTCTAAAGTAACCAAAATTTCAGGGGTTGCAGAATGGCCAGCTATTAAATATTTTTATAATTTGCTCTGAACTGTTAATTATCACAGAAGCAACAAATGAAATGCTATTTTATTGGTCAAGGAAGGGAAAGAAAAATTCCCAATAAAATTTGGGTTTACTGGCAAAAAAATAATTCATAATTTAATACACATAAACATGAAGATCTGTATTACCTCCTACAGGATAGGTTCTTAAATGATACTTTGCTGGCAGCTATAAAACGTGAATCACTCGTGCAATTCATCCACAAGTCTATATTCCATGTTTACTATAACTTACTCCAAGCATCCTGCGGAAGAAAAACAACCCACAAAACCAAAACCAAACAGTACTGTTTGTAAACTGGGACTCTTGAGCATAGTCCTCAGCCAATTCAGAAGAGTATGGGAGTGTTTCAGCCACTTTCAATGACTACACCAACCATGTCTCTTTCCGACAGTTCCAGAAGGGAAGTATAAAAGTTTGTAAGTTATACAAATTTCAACATACTTCTAAAGATGCAGGAGTAAGTTTGATAGACAAGAACGTGATTTTCATTTTTAGGTAAGAATGTTACCTGAAAGATTATATATAAAATTTGATTTTTAAAGCAACTCTTTTATCAGAAAAGCATTTCAACTAAAATCATCTTTATTTCTTGAGTAAATAAATTTCTTTGGTTACTATCTAAACAAAAAAGTCTCTACGAACAGGACAAGAAAGAAGTGAACTTCAATAACAACCTGTCATTATCACAGAAGACACTTTCTTATATGTTTAAATAGAAGGCAGCAGCAGCTGCAAAAAACTCAAGCAGTTAAAATCTTCCAAATGCTTTCTTCAGTCACAGGGCATGGGAATCCCAAAGTTAGCATGCCGCTAACAGGCAGGTTCCAGACTTTATTTTATAAACCTCTATAGCTACGTTTATAAATCAACTTCCAGATAACAGTACTGTGTAATCAGAATTGGCCACAAAGTAACAACTCATTTACTGAATACTCTTAATAACGGTATTTTGCAAATTAATACTATACATAAGTAGAATTTTTAAACGCATATGAATCAGACGAGTCTTTACTCAATCTGTACGAGAGCCCTCATGAAGCCCTGTTTTCTTTTCACGCTGTCAGATCAGTCATTACCACAATAGAACCAATCAAATATGCAAATAAGGAAATAACAATTGGATTTTATGAGCACATACGACATATAAATAAACAGCCCAGGGATCATTTAGAAAACTGCTTCTATTAAAACATTAACAACTAAAGCCCTAACAAGGCTGTATTTTATTTTTTAAAAAATAAATTAAAAATCGGGGGTTTTGAACTTTGGAAATTCAAGCCAACTGGGTAAACATCCTCCTTTCCCTTAGGCTGGAATGTAGCTGCCGCGCAGTCCAAGTTCAGAACAAGAAATTCTCATGTTAAAAAAAAAAAATCATCTTTATCCAAGGGAAACCCGGCAAAAGCTACTACTTTTCCCTAAGCGCCTGCGATTTTAAAACGCTTCACCTGTCCCGACAGCTGTGTCAACCCGCAGCAACACCAGCGGGCGCAGCTCTCTCCGCAACCCGGCTGCCACCCCACACCGCCTAAACCCGCCGAAACTCTGGGACACCCATGCCTGGAGCTCCGCCGCGGGGCCCTGCGCCTGCCCCGTACAGCTGCCGTGAGGGCCTTTAGGCCGTGAGCTGCCCCCGCGGCAGCTGTACGGGGCACAGCGAGGCCCGCCGGGGCCACCGGGCTAAGCCGGCAGTGAAGGACTCGCCAAGCTACCAGGACGGGGAGGGGAGGGACGAGAAGAGCCCCAGGGAGGGCGGCGGAGCGAGGGGAAAGAGAGCGGGAACGGGGCGGTTAGTGCTGAGGGAGCGCCGGGACTCCCCTCAGGGCAAGCCGAGAGGTCAGACCTGAACGTTTAGAACGAGCTCGCAGCTCCAGCATCTTCCAGCTCACATCGGCCATATGGGCCGCCGCAGGTGCCGCCGCCATAGCGATGAGGTCCCGCCGCTCCCGTTACTCCAGTCAGGACAGCAGTTCCCACCTCACCGACGCCGCAGCCGGGCGGCGATCTCCGCCTGGTTACCTACGGCGGCCGTAAAGAGCCTCGCACG